GAATTTATAGTTTAATAATATAAAATATATATATATACTTAAATCAACTTTTAAATAAAATCTATTATTAATAATCTTTTAATTGTATTATAAATTTCATAGCTATTTTATTAAAAAAATACTAACCTTTGTAAAATATTCCCAGAAAACCTTTCTTTTCTGATAAAAATAAATCTCTAATTTTAGGAATTTTCCTTAGATAAGCTGTTGTACATATAACCAATAATGCAAATATTATAACTCCATCAAATGAATATACTGAAAAATTAAATATTCAATTTTATTACAAAATCATTATAATGTTAAATATATAAGATTACTGCTTATTATTTTCTTACAATTCATAATTAATTAGATTAATGCACTTACTTAATGCAACTTTTATTATGAATTAATTAATAGATAAAATTGAAAATAACTGGAAATTTATAATTAATACAGTAGAACCTCTGATTATCAAGCTACTTTGTATAAAATGAACAGTTCCAATCATTTTGGATTAAAAATTACCAATATGAATATAAAAGATTTACACAGTATCCCTTTAAGCCTCTTTTTACACTTTATTAAATTTAATCTTATGTAAGAACAATAATTTTTACATCATTTATATTATATAGCTGATATTTATGATAGTCAAAAAATAAAAATATAGTTTTGTACTCATATTTAAAATATGAATGGTTTGTCTCTCACAGAAGTCAAATATGAAAAAAAAATTCATCATTTTATAATACATGTTATTGTTTTTTTAAGATTCTTACAGGTTTGTTTTGGATAATGAGAAATATTAGTTAATTGGAGTTCTACTGTATACTAATTTTATAATTTTTTTTCATTATTCTAAAATATAAAAGATAAATTTGTTTATATTTTTTACAATATTTTTTCAATTTTCAATTTTTTGGCAAATTTGAGGTTCTTTTTGTATGACAATCCATTGTAGTCACTTCATATCTGTCATCTTTAATTGCTTCTCTAACTTGCTTCCCTTATGTTATACAACTTCTCACTATTGAAATGTTTGTTTTTCATACTGAACTAGACTGTTTCAGATATTGATTGATTGTTTCTTATAGAGTAGATAAAAATATTATACAAGATCAATATAATGCCATAAAGGAAGTCTTTTAAAGCCCTAGTAGACAATAATAATTTAAAATAGTATTAAGGACATAGAGGCATAATTGATTAACAGTCTTTTACTTTGTTTAATGTTATACAACTATCAGCATAGTCACTGGAAGTATACTTTTCGTTACAAGTAATTTTACTGTGTGTCAGTGTATAAGCTTTTATTCACTCTTATATCATCATCTTTGCTATTAGTTGCAGTTCTTTTTCATAGACCAGGAGGTCTGAAACATGTATAATAGCATATTTGAATAAAAAATGTAAGTGCATACATGTGTGAAATTATTTACAGAAGTAGGTTTTTACAGTTATATTTGACAAAAGACAAAGGATTGCTTCCTGTATGCAGTACTTAACTGTTTTGCTAATGTTTTGTTAAAAATGATTTTAGTGTATTGTACCTGAAAGCACTAAAACTTTAAATTTTTTAAATTAAGGTGCAATATCCAAAATTCTATGTAAAAATCATATACATTTCCACTCAAAAATTTTGTGAATGAAATAATTGAAGCACATTCCAATATGGCTGAATCAATGCTGGCAAATGTAAATGCCAAAATAAGCAATATGTTACAGCTTATAGTTTACTGGATTCATATTTGTATAAACATTTATGGAATTTGAATAATCACAATGTGGGTATGTTCGATCACATTTAGTTTGATGTAATATTGTTCTATCCTTTTATTACTATTTATTCTAGGCCTATGTTGTTAGCAGACAAATTAATGTAGTCAACTGTAATATAACATTAAATTATAAAAATATGTAAAATTTATAAAAAAAATAATTTATCAGGTTTTTTTTCATTCAGTCTTTTTTATAACTTTTGTTTAGCACATTCATTTCGCCAAATCATACATCATAAACAATGAAGTGATGCAATATAGGCTACAAAAGTGCTATGCATTGGGTCATTAAATGGACTAAGTTAGGCACCTTTAACAGCAGGATTTTTTGGAAGAACATTAACATTTTCATCCTGGTTAATAAGTCATCATTTAAGTCATTAAACAAACAAGATCCTTGATTTCAAATTTAAAAGTTTTAAACTTATTAAATAATGCTATTTCAGATATCAAAGTAAACTGAAAATTACTTGCATAAATTTTTTTTTTATATTTAAAAAACTTTAATGTGGAATTTTTAGAAATTAAATTCAATTAAACAAATTGCCTTTATTTACTTAAACATTTTGCTTTCTAGCATCTATGTACGAGTTTTATATTTACTTATGTAAACAGTATATATTTTTTGAGGCCAGATTGGTTCAATGAATGCTACACTACTTTTACATCAAAACACATACTGCTGCATGCAATACAGAGTGTAGAGAGGGAGAGAGGAAGTAGGGAGAACTGTGATGGGTCAGCTGTCTCTTAAGCAGATGCAATGCACCCAAAGATAGGCGCAAGCTCACAAGGCTTGACCAAAAAGTTGTACTCCCATCTGGATTTTGCCTCCTGATATAGTCAAGTCATATCTAAAATGGATGATTACAAAGTATAATTAACTGCCTTTGGGGGCCCAAAAGGGATGGTCTTTTGTAAAAAGCCACATAAGTGATCCCATAGTTGCATTAGTCAATTTGGTTTATTTGGTCATGGCAATGCGACACACGACTGATCTGTCAATGGAGGATGCCTCTCCAGGGAGCTTTTATGGGAAACTAATCCCTATTTAGGCATTACGAATGTGAAGAAAACTCAGAAAACTTCTTGTGGCAAATCTGTTGGAAAAGTACAAATGCACAACCAACTACCAGCATTCAGTGGTTTTATCCATTCAGCCATGGTGAGCTGCATTAGTTGGGGTCTTGGGGTAGGTAGTGGTGGGTGGCTTAGCCACTTCTCGCTTTTTTGGGTATCTGATGTCAGCCAGGTCTCGACCCGGAGCCCAGCAATGCCAAAAAACAGCCAAAGCTCCACAGCCGATACAACAGATTCGCTTCCTTGTAAAGCAGCTAAGTAATCAAGCCAATGACATAGTTCGTTTTATATGAAACAAACTACGTCACTGGCTTGCTTGACAAGGAAACTCACCCAATGCAAATTAATGAGAGATGCGGCCAACCAGCCCAGTCCTTACATTTTTAAATTTCATACTAAAATATGAATTTTTAATCAACCAAATACTACGTATTAAATTTTTCATATATTGAAGTTAAATCTTATCAGATGATACGGCAATTTAAACATCAATTTCAAATAAATATCAAGAAATAATGCGTCATGTACAGTACTACTTGTATATAATTATCATAATTTAAAAAAGTAAATGCATTAGTATAAATGTTATTTTACCTATTTAGACTTCCTTACGTAAAAATGTCGCATATAAAAGTAAAATGTAATAAATTTTTGCTACATATACATTTAAATCATAAACCGTCTCCACAAGTAAACCTTACCATTCGTCATCTTGTCATCCTTAAAATCATTAGTGTTGCCAGATGTTTTTATCATAAAATAATACGTATCGTAAAGTGATAATTTTTATGAAGTTATTTCTAGATTTTAATATTGCTATTTTGACATTCTATATTTTCTCACTTTTTAAAAGTCAGATAAAAATTGAATAGTATTAAAAAAATAATGCATACTTTACATATTTATCAAAACTATTAAGTTTTTTTTTTAATTTTTCCGCTCTGTGGGCACTAAGAGTACCTTTTTTTTTTTAACAAGCCCGTTATGGGTTCGGCCAGGCCCGCAATAGGGCGGGCGGGTGGTGAGGGACGGGCCCGACATATCCGGATGGACCACTCCCCGAAAAATTTCTGGGGATTTTTCGATCCGTCCGGATTCGATTCCAGGTCCTCCAGAGCGGTACGTTGCCACCGTGACCTCTCGGCCGTCCGGCCGTAAAATTATTAGGTTTTTTTCTACTACTAGACGGCTTTGTTTTTTAACTTTTCCTCTCTTAACTTAATAAGACTGTGGAAAGTAAGAAGACTTATTTTTAGACCCATTGTGGGTTAAAGTAGCCGAATAGAATACGAATGCCGATGTATCCGGGACACGTTACCAGAAAAATTTCTGTCTTTTTAAATCGACCGGACTCGATATCGGATACCCAGGAACAATAGACTGACGTCTTAATCGTCTCGACCGACCGCTTGTCATTCTTCAGTAATATAAATGATATTTCATATGCCATAAACAATTTTATACACAGAAATTGAAGGTAACCATCAAGAGTTTATGTAGCTGCTCTTTTGCTTCTTAGCTAACCCTTTTAACCAAGTTTCTTCAAACAAACAAGATACGTACATTGTTTCTTTATTAAATTATTAATAAAAAGTAGACTCAAAAATTTTATTTTCTGTTAGTAAAAGTAACATTAATTTCTCATGGGTATAAACCTCTCAGGTTCCTAAATTTTCTCCGGGTCCGGGAAAAATTCCCTAGCTTCCTTCTCGACGGCTCTGAACATAGTACGTATGCATTACGTATATGATACATGTTTGTTTTTCATCCTCACAGCGTTACAAGTTCCATAGTGGTAATTTTAAGAACTAAATTTTTTTTTCGCAGAAATCTCTTTCGAATATCCGGAAACGTCAGCGTATAAAATTTAGTTGAGTTACAACTGCAACATATTCCTTCAGATAGTGTTAAATAGCTATACTTAATTTACGATCACACGGAACTTTTGATATCTTATCAATCGAAAGCTAAACATATCATCATCAAGTCATTTATATATACTGTAAATATATTCTATGTTGCATTTAACTCACTATCGCTACATACAAGGTCTCCTAAGTATCGGATGAACCACTCAGAGAGCCCAAGCGCGACCTAGTTTTGAGGCCCTTGTTCTAAATATTAAGTAATGCTATCAAATCAATATAATACTTAATAAAAAAATACTGATCAGTGAATTGTTTCCTTAAATATACATCTCTAAATGTCTAGACGAAAATGGTATCTGTGCTAGAGGTTCGCAGAATGTATCTATTTTTGAAGCTGCTAACTTTCGAAGGTACCAAGCGCGCACTTCTTGTGTCTGTGCGATGATTTATCACTGTTAGTGATAGCAGCAATAAATAGATTATTTTGACATATTCAATATATTCAGGCAGGCCATATTCAATCATAATTTCTAAGAAGCCAGCCTACCTCTTTGGGGGATCCTGTGTGGAATCTGCTTTAGATTGGTGAGATATGGCAACGCAACACATGCGTGATCTGCCAAAGAGCATGGGCGTAGCGAGGGGGGAGCCTGGGTGGGCACGGCCCTCCCCAGTAAACCTGGTGCCCCCCAGAAAATCACAGCCGAAAAAGTGCTAAGCCGATTTGGAAACAACAAAAAACTTAAAGCTAAAAATTTTGAATACTAATAAAAAAAGGTCCACTGTGCCCAAAGTTATGAATAATTTGAAATACAGTAGAGCGTCGTTTATCCGAAAGCTAGTTATCCGAAACGTCTGTTATCCGAAAGCATTCCAGTCAGCGAATTTAAATTTTCGCTAGTGCTGTGGCGCTGCAATCTTCGGCTGTTTCTTGGGTTACTCAAATATTTTACGTTTTTGATACTAAATTAACATTTGAAGTATAATTTTTTATTGTTTTTATGTTTTTCAATATATTTATTCTGTTTGTACAAAATAAAAAAATAATTTTTACAATAGTCTTCGTTAGGCTTAACATCGACGAAATTCAACGCGAAGCGACACGCAACAGAGAAAAATTTCAACACGGGATAAATTAATATATTTTTTCGTACATGATTCGTTATCCGAAAAATAAGTTATCCGAACCACCCCAGTCCCCAATTGATTCGGATAAACGACGCTCTACTGTAATTCAATTTTGTGTTAGGTTGGCCTCTACTAGGCCCCCCACAACAAAATTCTGGCTACGCCCATGCCAAAGAGAGTCTCTCCCGAGAGAACTTTTTATTGGAAACGTATGTAGGTGTTAGATACGTGAATAAACTCGGAAAACTCTACGTGGTCAGCCTGTTGATGAGGCGCGAACCTGCAAACAACTAGTAGTGTTCAGTAGTTTATCCACTCGGTTACCGGTGGGCGATCGAAACTGACTGTTACTAAAATCATCAGGCATTTTTTTAGGAACAGTCTGTCTCAAACGTCAATACGTTTGAGACAGACTGTTCCTAAAAAAATGCCTGATGATTTTGGGTCACGTCTTTCATTTCCTCACCATTCTTATTGTAGGGTGGCTGAACCCATAATGGGTGTGGAAAAAGGTTCTCATAGAAGTTTGATTTTTACATGAAAAGTCAAAAATGAAAATAGTACAGTAGAGTCCCGAAAACTCGGCACTCGATAACCCGGCAGTCCGGATAACTCGGCCACACCCTGGCAGGGCGAAAAAACCCCTAGTTAGTTTTCATTATAGACAGCTTTATGTCTCTTAAAGTATTTTTCTGAGGTATGTCTTATCAGGTAAATTACTGTACACTGTGTATTCATTAATTTTCATTTTCATGTAGTAAGAGCCTTATGCCTTCATAAAGTACGTACAAAAGTACGTACTTTACGTACGTACCTTTGTTTAAGGGTATTTGGGCAGTTTATTCTCTGTTGTATTCTCAAGCAAACAATACATACAAGTACAGTACAGTATTTTCTGAGGAAACACTCGTACTTATTTTTTTTAACCCCATTCCCGATAACCCGGCATTTTCACAAACTCGGCCACCCTTCGGTCCACATTAGGCCGAGTTTTCTGGACTGTACTGTAATAATTATATCATTTATAATTTTCTTTCTTCCTCTTTTTTATTATATTTTTATAAAATTTTGTATGTAAAACTTTTACTTTATTATTATTATTATTGTTTGAAATTTGCAAATTATTAATGAACTGAATCGATTTTTAAGCTTCTTATTATTTTTCAAGCATACTCTCTTTAAAAAAATCACGCTTATAATCATCTGCTTATATAACCACGTGATATAACTAGACGTATCCGTCATAGTAGCCTTAGGTTAAATTAATTTAAAGTAGACAGATCTGAGGTCAAGGAAAATTATTTTTTATCTTGTGTACTACATGCCACTGATTAGATGCTTATGAGTGTTGCTTCTTAACAACTGAATGTAAAAAAAGCAAATGTAAGTTTCCACTTTTTCTATGAATATGTCGGATAAAATTTTACATATAGTACTGTACTTTATAACTGTTATAAGTATTGAATAGTGATGAATTGATAACAATGAAAATGGAATTCCTAAATTTAATGTAAATGAATATCAAACTTAATTCTTTACAAATATAAAAATCGTATATTTAGATTATAATGCGATGTTAACTGAATATTGTGCATAAAAACGTTAGCAACTAATAAGTTAAATATAACTCGGGTATTTACGATTAATTGTAGATACTTTCTAATAAGTTAAAACTATAATTTGGATAGGACCATTAAACAGGAAATCATTAAAAACAAAAGTAAAATCGTAAGTTTAACCACTTAATTAAAACGGGGTTTTCGGACGAATGAACCGAAATGTTGTCTTTCAAGAATACTCAGAAGTTCCCGAGTTCAAGAATTACTCAGAAGACGATTAATTCTCAGATATTTTACTTAAATCCATTTCGGATAGGAATTCTCGCCGATCCCTCTTCAATAAAGGTACAATTTACGACAGAGCCTACATCAATATTTCAGACTGTTCGAAATCAATCGCAGTAAACAGTCGGATTTGAAGGACATAACACTTCGGTTTATTCGTCCGAAAATCCCTTTTTAAGTTGTTATAAAAGTGGATAAAGAACTTTATTTACTGTTGTTCAGTTGAGAATTTCCAATGTTAAACGGTGCCACAAAAAACCTAATCCTATGTTACAAAATGAATGGGCTATCAATATTAGGCTTCGGAATAAGTCCGAACTCTAATTCCAAGGTTCTCAGAAATGAACAAACTGAGAATGAATTAGGCTAGGTTCGTAAAAAATCCAGCCACGAGGTATATAACTTTTCTGAATTCGTCGGAAAAGTTATACACTTCGTGGTTGGATTTTTTAATGAGGGACACTAAGACATTAGCACAAAGCTAAGATTATTTGTGGCATCATCTGTTGTGAGATATCATTAAAAAATAACTTTTATATTATTAATTATTATAAAATGGCAAAACGCTTAATTTTGAAGATATAGATGAGTTTTTTAAAAAATTGTAAATGCCAATAATGGGTACAATTTTCACTAAGTCCGACCCCACTCGAGATACGACACATGATCCCCTCTATCTCCCTACTCCCTCGACCTTTAACCATAAAAATTTAATAGTATCATGTGTGAAATCCGGAATTTTTACCGATTTTTCCGATTAATATCCCGTATTTTCCTAAACCCTCAATTAAACTTTTATTTAAACCTAAACTAAAACCTAACTTAAAAAAGGGAAAAATTCCAATCTCCTCTTTCGTTCAAAGTAAACATCCGTCCACTTCGAAAATAATCCCACATTCCAACTCCAAAGTTGATAGTTAGCATGGTCCCGGGACAACTTTGACCCATCCGCGTACCTTTTACCTCGCAACAATTAATCACACGACCATTCTCCCACGACGAAACTATAAAAGCCACTTGCTTCCCTCTCTCGGGGGTGTCGTTCATCAACCGTCACCTACAATTTCCTTGAATATTGTGTCCTGGTCCTACCGTGTTGGATAAAATAATATTTTCCTTGAGGATAACTATCGACATAAAGATGTATGGAACAAATTTTTGTGAACTCTCTCTCGGCCCTTCGCGTTTTAGGGACTCAGAATTTTCCCTCGATAATAGTTATTGTACCGTCTATATAGGTAGCTAATAAATCGTTGTTTCCTTGTTAAATTGGTGTCCTCTTTTACTCGTATATCGCCTGTCACCTTACCGACGGCACTCCTCCCTCCTACACTCGACCGGACCTGGAAAAAAATTAGTCCCGTTCCCTCGGGATAAATTAAAAATTTAAGCCATCCAGTGAGCAAGTCCCTCCGACTTGAAAGCCGATCCACGGAGGTACGACGTAGTCATACCCCCTCGGTTCTCACACATGTCTATTATATACAAAATTATTGTTCCGAAATTCGTCTCTTAATCTCTATTCCATCCTGTGGTATTAAACGAAATAGACGCCCACATACACGTATCAACGGAATTCATTCCTTTTTTGACTTTTTGGGTGCGGAAGGGATTTCAAAACGTCGAGATTTGCAAAAACAAAAAAACCCAAAGGGTCAAATCTAAGACAATTTCGTGTTATATACATAATATACATAACAGCCGGAAAAATAATACGTCAGAAATGAGCGATTAGAAATTATTGCTGTCAAGAGAGAATACACAGTTCTGATGTAAAGATAAAGTTCTACAGATCGATAAACATATCCGGTTGGCATAGGAATTCGGCGTCGAATTAAATGTCTCGCAGCTTGAGTTGGTCTCGAATTTCTCCTGGAAACAAGTACATGGCCAATCAGAAAGTGTGGAGAGATAACCGGGGCAGTTGAGATGCCTGATCGAGGGACGAACCTTTTAAAAACCCACGTCTCAAGGACATGGGTATCCTAGTTCCTTATAATTCCTTAGTGCCTGAATTCTTAATAGATGTATTGAATTACGACTATATCATACAAAAGCAAATAATTCGAACACGTTTGATCAAAACTTTTTAAATTATGCAACATTTCTTTAATTGCATATTTAGGCTACTATAAACAGCATATTTTGTTAAAAAAGTGTAGCTATATTTTAACCATATTTACTACCCTTTTATCAAAACATGATATAAAAGTTCAAAGTTTAATCAGAATGGCTATAAAATTTGTTTTACTTAACCTTTATTCTATAACATATACAGTATGGGCTACGCTATAAATAAAACGGAAATACATTAATAAAAAAACACTCTATCCATTTTATATCTGGCCTATTGATCCTTACAAGTTTATTTATAAAAAAAGAACTGACTTTATTAGAAGCTAATATAGGTTAGATTAATTAATTTCTTTGAAATGTTTTCCTGATAACTTGAAAAGGTCATAATATATTTTCGTTACAAGATAATATTGACGTCAATTAAGTATAACACGTTATGTGGGGTGTTTTCGAAATAGTGGGATTAATTTCCGAAGTTTGCTTCGGGGATGAATTTTACAGGAAAACAACTACAGAAATGTATATAAACATTTCCGGAAAAAGGTGGTTTTCGAGAAATCAAACCTCTTATACTGAAAAATAGATGGTTACATAACTCTTATTAACTCTCTTACATAACTTTTCATTAAAGTGAGCTTCAATTCACTTTAATTTTAATCAATATGCGCCGGCTGTACTAAATAATAGGCTACATATCCATACAGATGGATAGGTAGCCTGTGATTTAGAGTAAGTCCAGTTGTGTGGCCTCCACGTTTCCCGGTCTGAATCCTCTGGATTTTTATCTGTGGAGTCACCTGAAGACAATGTGGAGATGCAGCTGCAATGCACCATCATTTGTGGAAGGTCTGGAACCTTCGAAAGAGTGCAGAAGTCTGTTTTGACGCCTCAAAATACCCTCCACGTGCATCTATGCACGCGGAGGGTATTTTGAGCATTTCTTATGAAGAAAGCTGTGGCATAAAAAATATGCCCATTTCTAGACATATTTTTATATTCCTATAATTATACAAGGTATATTATTTCACAAAACAGTTTTCATGTAGCATTAGTCAATTATTTTTCATTTATTTAATAATTGTTTAAATAAAAATACAAGGTATAATATTATTAATAAATTACTGAAGAAACTTAAAATTTTTTAACAATCCATAAAAATTCATAAGTTAGGGGAGACCGGGGATAGTTGTCACAGTGGAAATATCGCCTATATACAGTAGACCCCTTATAACACGGGTTCATATAATACGGGATTTGTATAACACGGCGAAAAAATTGCGATCGTATTCGTATAAACACGCTACAAGAGACTCGTATAATACGGTAAAACGTCATCGCTGACTCGTGTCGCGACAGGATTGGTCGAATCTAGACCAATAGCGGATATTGCACAAATCTTTGAGTTTAAACGAGCACTGGACCTACTAAAAAACATTTATTATTCAACGGCCATAAAAATTATATTTATAATAATGATGTCTCCAAAGTTCAGCGAATTTTTCGCAGAAAAATAACTTATCAGAAAACATGCGTCCGCCGTTCGATGCGCCGCTCCGCGACGAAAACAAGTTTAATTAAGCAATGGCGTCGTCGAATAGTGCACACTCGGTAAGTAATCCTACAATTTTTTGTTTATAGCATAGTTTATATGGATTGTTCCCCAAAAAATTATACGTGTTTTGGAAATGTTGTGTGAAATTAGTCTAGAATCGATTAATTTTATGGAAGAAAACCTTTCAAACAGCCGTAGTCTGTAAACTGCACACGTGCCGGGGCTGTGATTGACTCATGTATTTAAGTGACTCGTAAAACACGGAATTCATATAAAACGGAACGTATCTACTGTGTTATGGGGGAGTCTACTGTAATCAAAACTGAATGGTCACGTTATCTAGGAATAGGTTCATATATCCGTTGCATTGTTTTCTGTAAATTAGCGGTTAAAAGATTTACAGCAAGTCGCGTAAACTTTGATGCATCATGTCTTGGGCCGTTTGAAAACTTTCAATTAGTAAAAGGTGAGTAACAACTGTATTTCCTATTAGATGTGTCCTTAATGTATATATACATTACGAGTAGAGGATTTGATCCCGGGATCTCGAAAATCGGGATCCCGGGATCCCGACCACTTTTCAGTCCCAAAATTTTCGGGATTAAGTTTTCCTAATCCCGGGATTTTCGGGATTGACATCATTTTTAAAAAATTGCAAAATAGACTGCATGAAGCGAAACGTTCAGTGCCAGTGCTTTTAACAGAATTGCATTGCTTGCCTATCATTTTAATATAAAATACAAGAAATTTTATTCCAAGCAAGCAGCAGAAATTAACCAAGCGGGCTTGCGATGCTTGCTTGGAATAAAACTTTTTGTATTTTCAACTAAAATGATAGGCAAGCAGTTCTCACTGGGTTACTTGGTAATATACTTCATTTTTGTATTTTTGAATTTTCGCGGGCGCCAATCGATTTTCTGGCGCAGTCGAGAGCACTACTCAGTGCGTTTTACCTGTCAATGTGTCAGCCATCTTGTTTTGCCAGTGTGGTTAATATAGACCCGACGCCTCTCGCTTAGGGGGGTCGACCTTAGGTGAAAAGGTTACGACCCTCGCCTTGCCCGCGATCTGTCAGGATGATGCGAGAAAGTCTTTTTACGTTTCGGGGTAGTGGTTTGCTGGACGCTGAGAGACTCACACAGAGACCGAATTTACAAAATTAACGCGTTTATTTTTAGAAAGACATGCTTACAATGATCGAAACAATCGGGATTGTAGCCTTTACTCCTACAATCCCGATCCGTGTCGACCGGACTGTTTTCTTCCATCCTCCCCGTGTCCTCGAAGCTTATAAGTATTTACTAACGATTCCTCCAACTTCCATCAAACCTAAACGCGTTTTCTCAGCAGCTGCATATATGTGCAACAAATTGAGAAGCAGACTTGGTGATGAGACACTGGATGCGTTGTTATTTCTCAGATCATATTTTCGCAATTCAAATTAGAATGTTCCTATTAGATTAGTTTTCTTTATATTTAAGAAAAATGTGACTGATTAATATTATTTTTAAATACTTTTTGCTAAGAAACTTACTTTACTACCTACTTACTAGGTTGTTATATGAAAGTAGTCTATTTAGTCGATGTTAAGAGAGATTTTTGTTAATTTTCAACGTTTATTTGCATAGTTTGTTACATAAAGGTTTTTTCAATTTATGTGAGTTTAAAGAGATCTCAGTGATGCTTAAAAAAGAATAAATTTAACATGAAGACAGTGATTTTAAGTCTGGTTAGTCTGACTGTAAGTCTGATTAATTAGAGTGATTAAATTAACTAGGTGTATACCGTAAAATACGTTGATTTTTGTCTAAATTTTGATTTTTAATTTCTGTAAGATTTTCTTATTTTTTATTAACCCTCAATACCGAAATAATCCCGGGATCCCGGGATCGAATAAGTATAATCCCGAAATCCCGGGATTAGAAATAAGGACCGGGATCGAATTCCCTAATTACGAGCAATTGAATTTTCTATTTTGAAGTTAGAAACTATGAACCGATTTGTTAAGGAAGTTCATTTGGGGCAAATTGTCACACATCGAACGGGGCAACTTGTCACTAACAAGTAAAACTGACTCATCCGAAGAGAAAGAAAAGACCTTCTGTTTGGTTTGTGGTGAGAGTTTGGTCTCGCGAGCTATGTACAGATGTAAATCCATATTATATTTGTTACAATTGCGACTCTGAAGACAAATGTAATGCGAAGGTCGCCGAATTGGTGATATCCAAATGTCAGGACTTATTATCGTATGTGGGATGAAGGAAAGTGAGGCAAATAGCTACAGTGACAAACAAACCCGTTTATTTATACTGTCTTACAATCTAGAGTGTCTTGTCTTCTGGTGGCTCTGGATTGTTCAGTTGTTGGCCCCGGGGCAGTAAGTCAGTGCCCGATGGTGTGGGAGATTGTGACGAAGGATGATAGCCTGAAGTTCAAAATGGATGGTGTCCACTCGTGGAGGCAGGGAAAAGTCTGGACAATTAACTATAGTTGTTAGCTGGGGAAATTCTGAACAGTGGTTGACACTGTCAGAGGCTGAGAAGTCTGGAAGAAGTCTCCTACAGTTACTTCACTAAGGGAAGCAGGGAAAAAGTCTGCCTTTGTTCTTTAGATACAGGTTTTTAAAAGATTCTCTTCCCGGATCTCTAGTTTTTGATTGGTCGGTTTCCTGTATCCAAGCAGACCATTTCCGGCTACCAAAGGTTTAATTCGACAGTGTGTTTTAATATGATCAAGGGAAATTAATCGCACCTTGAAACTACTGCTCGTATTTAATTGTTTCGAATTCTTATAAGTCTGACACATGATATCAGCGCTGCATCTCCTTTTAAGTTTATTTAAAAACCTTTTTTTTCTCTTAAGTTTATTTAAAAACCTTTTTTTTCTCTCGATTAATAATTTTATTATTTTCCAATTTTATTTAAGTTTTTGTTCCAATTTTTTACGAGCGTTAGAATCAAAGCCCGATACCTCGATTTGACACCTTTATGATATTTTTAACACTTGAGCTCGAGTATCGCTTGGGCCTCACAGTAAATATTCTAGTTACTTGTCTTTCGCAGAATAAATAATAGTAAATTACTAATCTATTTTCTTTATAGAATTGGCACGAGTAAATGTCATATTACGCATAATTTAACATAACCAAAATAAACTCAGGAAATGTGAGAGCTTAAACTACATATACCCTGTGACAACATATCCCGTCTAGGGGGTATGTTGTCACAGGGTATAATATGTTCAAAATAATTAATAACTATGACAAAAAATTATTCAGTGTTCATATATTTATTATATGAGATCCGACCTCAGAGTAAGCCCAAAATTGTTCATTTTCCCCCCTAAATTTTCGACGTATTTGAAATAAATTTGTCGCCTCCTCGTTAAAATAACATTGTCAGAAAAAAGTATCATATATCGTTCGAAACTTATAACTTTCATCGTTAATATAAACATTCAACCCTCGAACAATGACATTCCTCTGCTGCAATACAAAACGTTTATAGTTAAAGTCCGAATTCGTCATTTTGTTTTGGTCCCGGGAACAACTTTAACCTCCACATCTGCAGGACCAACTCTACCTCACACAATAGATCACCTGACTAATTTCCCCTACCCGAAGCTATAAAAGCGACTTCTTTCCCCCCTCTCTCCCCCACATCAACGGTCGGAAAGGATTACGTCTCCGAAAATTTTTACTTTGTACGTCGAATTCTGTGCCTACGTTGAATCTACTAGAAGTATGAAACAAATAATGTAAACTCTCTCTCCGCGAGTTAGGAGCTAGCGAACTAAATTCATTTCCCCAAATGTTAGATTTTGTATTCTTTATTTTTTTTTTCTTTTCGTTAATCTAATAAATCGTTGTTTCATTGTTAAATGGTGTCCTTTTACTCGTATATCGCCTACGCCTATAATTGATATTATAGACTCTAAAACTAGAAATGACTAAAAACTGTGACAACTAGCCCCTGTCTCCCCCTATTGAATTAACACAAGAGAAAGTATAGTTTTAGAATTTTTTTTTACCTTGGCAATGATATCGCCAGGTGGTAAGAAATTAATATTAACAAAAGATTTAATATACGATTTTATTTTATTATTATTTTTTTTTACAGATAAAGTAACGTTTTTACACAAGGACTATAAAAATGCGGAGACCATCTACTTTTCTCCATATTTTGGAGATTTTAGTATTTACGCTTATAATTGCTTTTGAGCTAACGTCTGGAAACGTAAAATATGTTAACTATAAAGTATATGAAAATAAGGATGTAGAAATGTTTAATAAACTTGCTGTAAACGTGCAAACCGGAAAAGTGTATATTGGGGCAGTTAATAGAATTTTTCAATTATCTAAAGACTTAAAATATCAAGAATCTGTGGAAATGGGACCAAGAGAAGACAGTCCAAATTGTCCGGTTACAAGGGTGTGTCCAAATGAACAAAAATCATCAACCAATTATTATAATAAAGTGTTAGCGATAGATTATTCTCAAAGCAAATTGATAGCATGTGGAAGTCTTTTTCAGGGAGTTTGTACATCACATGATGTAGAAAATGTGACTTTATATGAAACTCCAGCTAATGAATTTGTAGTGGCAAATAACTCAACTGCATCCACTGTAGCATTTATTGCTCCTGGTCCAGAAGACTTATCTCGTAGTCATGTTCTTTACGTTGGTGTATCATACACTGGAATTGGACTTTACAAATCTGATATACCAGCCGTCAGCAGTCGAAGTTTGGATCCTGCAAACATGTTTGCAATTGCATATACAGGTGTCACAACTGGAACTAAAATTATGATTAATAGCATGTCGCGTGAACATTATCCCGTTAAATATGTATTTGGATTTAGCGCAAAAGGATTTTCATATTTTATAACTGTACAAGGAAACCAGACATCGCATCCTAAACCTTTTATTTCAAAACTGATTCGCATTTGTCAAAATGATGTACATTATTATTCCTATACAGAAGTACCTCTTGAATGTCGAGCTGATGACGGAACTCATTATAATCTTGCTCAGGCAGGATATGTTGGTCATCCTGGATCAGAACTTGCTGCGAGTTTAGGTATCACTACCCAAGATGATGTTCTATATGTTGTTTTTGCAAAATCTAAAAGTGACAGTGATACCTACTTTAAGCCTAGTGCCAATTCTGCATTGTGTGTTTATGCATTATCTGCTATCCATCGAAAATTTACTCAAAATATTCAAAATTGTTTTAATGGAGTTGGTCAACGAGGATTGGATTTCATTAATCCTAGTCAACAATGTTCACAAACTGTAAGTAATATTTCAATAGGTATTAATTTTTAAAATTCCAATAATATAATTCCCGTATTGATTTTTAAATATTTATATAATGAAATCGAATGGATGGCCGAGCGGTTAAGGTGGAAGCCTGTCGCTCGAGAACTAATGTGGACGGATCAAAAATCCTATGAATTTTTGGGATGGTGGTCCGTTCGGATATGTCGGACTCCATCCCTCACTACCCGGCCGCCCCGTTTTGGGTCTGGCCGAACCCATAATGGGCTTACTAAAAGAGATACTCTTAGTACCCATAGGGCGGAAAGAGTTTTAAAAAACTATTGTATTACGATTCTGGTTGAACCCATGGCAATCATGAAGTAAGAGTAAAAAAAGCCATAAAGTATTTTTGTTTAATCTATTAATGCGAAATATATTTGCGATTTTGTGGATAAGAATAGGCATTTTAATCTTAAAGTTTGGTTAATATGTAATACGAAGTGTGTCGTGGTCGATAATTATTATACTGTATTAGGTTATTTGATATAAAGCAGTTTCTAGCTTCCCAAGTCACACAAGCAAAGTAACAATGCAGAAGTCACATCATCACCAGGAACGCGTGTTTCGTCGTCGTTTGTGTGGAGCAACACAAATTTTTTCAACATATCCAAAGAAGATAAAACTGAATGAAGTAATTGAGAAAAAATTTGGCTTTTGTCATTTGATGGTATGACCGTTATTTTTTTGTAAAGTTTTCTTAATTCGAAACTTATTACAAATTGCCAATTTTTAAGTTCCGTCAACTTTGTATTGTCGGGGTTTGACTATATACGTTCACTACGTATTCAAACTAATCAAAAATTTGAAATATTCGAATATTCGAGGTTTGGTTAATATTCAAACTCGAGAAAAGTGATATTCGTTTACGTTACGACGATTGGTTGGCCGAAAGGGCCAACCAATCGCGTAGTTCCAGGTGGTTCCAAAAGTGAGCACTATAGTACCCTTGTGTCGGTCAGTAAATCTAAGGGGGTGGCAGGGGGGAGCTAGAGGCAGATACTGAAAGGTAACCATAGTCGAGAGTTGAGTCACCGACAATCTTTCCCTTCCCTCTGTTAAAATGGGTAAGAAGAAAGATTGCATTTAATGGTTTCCAGATGTGGATAACAATGTTCAGTAAGTGTGAGATTCATAGGAAAGTCTTTCTAAGAATGTTTCCAAGTCTTACTCGCACAAGGAAAAAATGGGTTAGGGGCGTTGGGTATAAGTTTATGGAACCAAGATAGCTTAAAAAAGTTTTGGATCACTGGGCTAAAATATATGAGTTGCTTTTTTGGGAGATTGGATTTAAGTCGAAGTCAGATTTTCAAAAATTTTGTTGAAAATTATATATGTCCACCCTCTCCAGTATCACCAGTGACGTAGTGGATAACACTACTGAACACTGGTAGTATGCCATGGGTTTCTCATTACCAACAGGTTAGTTGCATGGAGTTTTTTGAGTTTTTTCGTGTATCCAACATTTGAGTAGAAGTTGGTTTCTAATCGAAAACTTATCTCCTTTGGCAGATTGCCAAAACCAATTGATCAAACCAAACCATCCTCTCCACTTGTATTTCACTTGATTTTCTTTTCAGTTGTGCTTCAGTTGCTCAGGTATATTCAGCAGAGAAGACTGTGCCTTGAATACACCTATGATTATCAATTAATTTTTTGTGTGTAGAATAATTAGAATTTATTCTATTATTTTATACATAGATTTCAATTTAAATTAATGCAATCTACTTGTTTTTTTTTGTAGAAATTGTCATTAATTATAAGGTTCTTTATGAGAACTTTTCAAATAATAGAATTAATATTCTTTGTAAACTAATTTGATTAATTTTATTGACTAAATATTGTTTAAATGAGTGACAATTGTCTTATTGTTATCAAATTATTTTTCAATCTGAGATGTAAAGAAAAAAGTTATATAACTACCTATTCATTTTGGTTTTTTACCAAGAAAACATATTTACAAATGGTAATCTGCAATATACTTTTTTAATTTAGCAAGTTCAAATTGATGATGACTTTTGTGGTTTGGATATTAATAACCCACTAGGAGGAACTATTCCAGTTAAGACATCGCCAATTGTACAATATAATGGGGTTTTATTGACAGCTGTTTCAGCAATGCCTGCATATGACAATACTGTAGCATTTCTAGGTACATCAACCGGACATTTAAAAAAGGCAAGGAAGTTTCCTTTATATTGCAATTATTACATTTCATTTTCATAAATAAAATGTTTTAACAGGTTATAATTGAATCTGCAACAGTAGCAAATGAGTATAGCGATATTACAGTTGATGAAGGAAGTGCTGTCAACCCTGATATGCTGTTTGATAAAGAACAAAGTATTTACGTCATGACAAAAAATAGAGTATGATTTTTAAAGTTGCTTTTTTACATAAGATATTTTGAAATATTCTAAATACTTTTTAAAGATTTTTATTTAATGTTTTTATGATATTTAGGTAACGAAAATGAAAGTACAAGAATGCCTCAATTTTAATACTTGCGATGATTGCATTGGTGCAAATGACCCATTTTGTGGATGGTGTACAATACAAAACAAGTATGTGTTTTGTAATAAAAAACAAATAAAGCGTATTTTTGTAATAGTTGTGAATGCCGTTAAGAAAATGATCTATTTAATCTCATCATCAATGCCAAACAAATCAATTACTACGTTAAATCATTGTTTACATTATTACGACTCTGTTCTCTACTAGAACAGGGTCGTAATAATATTGTAAGCAATTTAAAATGCGTATTGTTACTAGTTCTAAAATTCGTAGCCTAAGACACCATCAGTGAGCTGTTCAATTAGTCTATTTATTACGAGTGTGCTTTGCGAAAGGTTTCGAAAGACTAACAATAGCTCTTGACTGTGCAATATACAGGTGCTTTCTCAGGAAGGCATCAGGCAACGCTCTAATAGAATCGTTTTTATTTCATTGTACTGTAATACAGATTTAAGTGTATAAGCTACCATGCCAAAATTTGTTTTTTAATTATTACTCCATCCTGTGATATTTAAACGAAATAGATAGACGCTAACATACGCACATACATATAACCACAAAATATTTTTCCGTTTGTTTTGGCATTTTTGGGTTCGTGGGTTTCAAAACGATTTGCAAAAAACCTGAAGGATCAAATTTAAGACTATTCCAATACTTTTCCTTGTTATGTATACATAAAACTAATAAGCGAGTATATTTTAAAAGAAAAATTAATTAATTCAGCTATTACCTATACGGAATTCAAATATAACACTGTTTTTTTATACTTTCATTTGCTTAATTAAACTTCGCTCGAAAAATTCACTCGCTTGCATCTGAATGCTCATAGCTTAAATTCTAACAAATACTCATGTAAACAAAATATTGTTTCATACATTTATGTTTAAAACTCAAGCAAAATAATGGCATTAGTTGTTGAAAAACGCAATTGGCGATGCATGCTGTTATGTAAAACTGTTCAAAATTTGAATATAACTTTCATTTGATGATGGGCGAATGATGGACAAACGAATGGCATAATTTACTTTGAAAAAACACCATTGGAAGTGCCAACAGATCTGTAGATATGGTAAGAAAGATCTCAAATTTGAACAATTGGTAGAAATTTCCTTAATAATTGTATATCTTGCTGATAACTTTGATGGCCTTGTTGACTTTTGGTGCTATATTTATCACTTTTAACGCAAAATTTGTCAATTACACTCGTAGATCAAATGAAATGTTTGGCAATCTATCTATTTAACTTTCCTCCATGTTTCAAAATGGTTATTTGCCCTTTTTCAAAACGATACCCCCTGAGAATATTGATAAATTCCATCACAATAAAAATACTCGAATTAATTGTTAACTAGACTTGTGTGAATATTTATGAGTCTCAATGAGTGAGTTATTTCAATAGAAATTATAATCACTGCCTTTATACTTTTGGGACACGAAAACTATTGGATATCGATAGATAATATTTTTTATTACAGGAACAGTTTTTATTGAATATCACTTTTCTCATCATTTTATTTACCAGACTGTCATGTATACATAACAAGAGAAAGTATTGGAATCGTGTCAAATTTACCCTCCGGGTTTTTGCAAATCTTCGTTTTGAAACCTATTGAACCCAAAAAAGTCAAAACCACAGGGGAAAACCTGTGGATATATAACCTATGTATATATCATTGTGTGTGTGTGTTTATTGGAGTCTGTCGTTTAATATCTCGAGATGAGATAATGATTAAGAAATGAAATTTGGCATGGTAGCTCGCATATAAGGGAAATTGATGCTATTAAATTTTGATGGTTAAAGGTCGAGAGGATGGAGAGATAAAGAGGGTACTTTTGTCATATCTCGAGAGGAATCGGACTTGATGAAGATTTTACTCGTAATTAACATTTAGCCTACAATTATTTTTTTTAAATAAAACTCATCTCTGCCCTCAAAATATGCGTTTTACGATTTTATAATAATTAATAATACCGGTATAAAAATTTTAATGCTAAAATCTCAATAGATGGCGCCGCACACTATATATTATTTGTATGATTAATAATATAAAAGTTATTTTTTAAAAGTAAATCTTTCAACAGCCGGGAAAGTTACGCAACTCTTTGCTGGATTTTTATAGATCATATGAAATAAAAATTAAACTCATTTTATTGATCAAAACGTGATTTAAAAATTTTTCCAATTAGAATAACTTTCTTTATAATTATGGAACACACCTTAAATGATGAGAAGAATGGTTTACTGGTGGTGCCTGTAAGGACAACCTTAGGCACTTGCTCAAATAGAACAATGGGTCCGGACACGTCCGAATACAAGGACAGATCTAGGGGCATTTTGCATTTATTTGCAGTAAGACCCCGCTTAACGCTGCTTCGCTTAACTTTGATTCATTATAACGCGGTCTGCTCGAAGCCTAAAAAAGCTCAAAATTAACGCTGATTTAAATTATCGCGGCATTCCATCGATTCGTATATAATACGATTATTTGCGAACACAAACCAATCAGCAAAAGATGGCAAAAAGTGTACTTTCTTTAAATCTATGTTTGTTTGGTTCAATTTTGGAAAAAATATAACACCATGGATGCCATAGGAAATATCGACTTCGCTTGACAATAATTAACTGATAAATGCACGAACGAAGTGTGGAAGAAGTTATGGCTGTAGGTATCCAAGAATTCTCAACGAGAAGAGCCTATAGCCAAGGACTATATCCTTGGCCTATAGCTATATCGTTAGGTTGACCAAACTCAACGTAATCGATATAGCAGGACTAGGAGAAGTAGACGATCAGGATATTGAGGAGTTACCGCAGGTTTTTGGTGAGAGTCTTACCAACGACGACCTACAAGAGCTGGCAGAACATGGAATTCCTGTGGAACTGAAAAATAAGAGCTTCTGAAAATGAAGAACCCAAAAAATTTCTCTACAGATTTCCTTAGTAAAAGTTTGGTAAGATAACCGATATCGATGATCAAATTGTAGCGAATGATCCAGATTTTGAAAGGAGTGAAAAAGCGAAACAATGCGTTTTGGATGCAATCTTCTGTTACCGACATTTGTTTAAGGAAAGAAAAAAGCGACAAATGAAACTACAGGACTTTATCGCAAAAAACAAAAAATTCAGAAAAGCCAGGACCTTCCTCACAAAAAATGAACTTGCATTTCTGTGTGCATATGTTTATCTGTTATTTAAAATATATTATTATACAAATTAATATAAAAATAACTTAAAATTAAAGTTGTTTCTGTTTGGCCGCGTGTTTCCCTATCCCTATTTACTCTATGTTAAAATAACCTAATTTAACGTTGTTTCGTTTAGCGCCTTGCTGTCTAGGAACGCATCCTCGGCATTAAGCGGGGTCTTACTATATATTAGTTTATTACATTTACAATTAATACAAATCATCGAAAATTATTATTAAAAAAGTTAATTTAAGCCATTTTTAATACTCAAAATTTCATAAATATACATGCACATATATAAAATCAACGATTATTTTAATAGACGTAATTATTTTCGTTTAGTTGATACAGTATAATTAAATTTTAATTGGATTATATTTAAAATTTTCTTTTAAAGATGCAGTTTACGTGAAGAATGTGCTGGTATTTCTCAAGAAACAATTGATTGGCTATCCTATAAACATGACAAATGTATAACAATAACCAAAATTCATCCAGAAAGTATCCAAAGTACAACTGCTCGAGTAGTAAGTAGTAATTGCTTTTAAATTATTAGTAAATTGTTGAAGATATATTCAAGTTCACTTGTATTTTGATATTGCATGATTATAAAATAAAGTAACAATAATGTATTTAAAAATTTTTGAATTTTACAGCATTACCTTGTAATAAGCATGAGATTTTCAAATTGTTTTAATTGATATTGCCATTATGGAAAGAAGTTCTAAATAAATAAAATTAACATTTTTAAAATTTTTTTCCAGCTTTCTCTAACAGTTAATAATCTTCCCGTGTCAGAAGATAAATTATTCTGTGCATTCAAAGTTATAGATCGAACTATAATACGAACTATAATAACGAATGCTACAAGAACAGCTTCTGGTGTTACGTGTGCAACTCCAAACACATTTTTTATTCCGCCTATTCCATCTGGTCATCGTAAGTTACAAAATTATTATCTTTTATTTATTTAATTAATTTATAAATCAAATAAGTGTACGAAATTAATTATTTTGAAAATATATTTTTAATTAAATATTTATTTATTTTTTAATACCATTAAAATTAATGATGAGCATTAATTATATAAAAAGTAGTTAACTACTTATAAAAACTGTGTGTAATTTTACTAATAGTTAACTACATTTAAACTACTCAAAAATAGAAAAAACAAAATATTAGATTGGATTAAAATAATAGCTCTGTTTCCTCTTCACTCTTGTCATTTAACACTTTTAAATCTTTTTAAACTGAAGCCTCAAAATAAATAAATAAAAAAATTGGAAAAATTTGTATATAACATTATGTGTTTAAGTTTATCTCAACAGGAAAAACAGATGTTTCACTGTAGCACTACTGTCAAGGGTAGTGTTTTATTGTAAAAATGCATGTTTTTTACATGCCGGTAGCTGTTTAACACTCAAGCTAACATTTTTGTTTCCTAAATTTCCAATTTAACTTGAAAATTCCTGCCATCCAATTTATAAAGCTGGCAACATTGTTGTTGGACTTTTCCAGCATTCTTTGTTTTCATCTCTAATACGTAATTGCTACCATTATAATGAGTTAAAAGTAGTGGAAACTAAACATGTACTGTACAGTAAAACCTGTTCAAAACGAAAAGAATTCTTCGAAACACAGCGATTTTCTGTGTTAAAAAACCTGTTTAAAACGGAAACCTGCCAAACTGGAAAGATTATTCGGTATCGCGCGAGTCCGGTTTACAAAAGTTTTACTGAAGTTATCTATTAGTTGAATTACTAAATTTGGATAGTAATAAGAATTGTAACTAGTACTATAGTTAACTACGTATTTTTAATTACATCTGTAGTTAATTGCCCATCTTTACAGACAATAAATTATAAAATTGAAAAACATAACAGAAAGTAGTTTCAATTTTCTGTATGGATTATTCATTCTAATTATTTATAAATAGGAAAAAATGCATCTTAGTAAAAATAGTAATAAATGTCTTTGAAAAATAAATAATAATATCAGTATATAAGGTATATTTTTATTTTGTTAAAAGAATAATATTACAGATGAATGGTGTTTATTTCTTTATGATACAATAGAATACAGTACTGTAATTTAACTGATTCATAACAATACTTTTATAGATAATCTCAGATCTAGGCTGTATATCGTAGATGAAAAACAAATCAAATATACATCAACGAATTTTACCTTTTTTGACTGTACGACGTATACTTCGTAAGTATTTTAAAATTTTCAGTTATATTTATTTTGATTTAAAAATTTACAATAAAGTAATTTTAAATAAGTTTAAAAAAATCAGGTGATTCTATATAAAATACCCTATTCAACGCTCTCTAAAGAGATATTTAACAGTCTAAATATAACCGAATTTAGTAATGTGACATTTTAGGACATGCGAAAACTCACCTATCTGACAGGTTTCTCTCTGAAAGCAACAAAAAAGGCAGTTTCATTTGTGAGGACATTTAAAACTCGTAGTATATCGATGACATACTGCAAATTTGGCAGCCTTGAAAGACAGTATTATTCTGTGTGTGAAAAGCATCAGAGGATCAATTGCGGTTAGCTGTTCAACACACTGTTCATCAACTTTAGGGTTTATACTTTAGAATGACTACAACATTGAGCAATAGACTCTAGATTGCTAGCGAGAGTTGGTGTACAGATCAAAATGTTTGTGCTTACAACGCCAAAAATAATATAATGATGAATTTTGGTACTAATTTTTTTTAACTAAAATGTCTTCCGCATGTTCTGAACTGACAGAATACCAAATTTGTTTGCATTTTAACTACTAAATATTGCATTTAACTTCGGAATAGGAGTGCTTTAATTAAGATCACCAACCGTTTTCGATAAGATTTTCCTATCTCAATTAAAAAGAAATTTGATTTATTTATTTTAAATAATGAAACTTTCTAAAATTTACTTTTAAATACGTTATTTAAAATATTCATTTCAATGCATTTATTTTAGCTGCACGCAATGTGTTTCAAGTCCATTTCCGTGTAGTTGGTGTGTTGAAGGTCATCGATGTACACATAATATTGATGAATACTGTCGTAATGACATAATTATAACTGGTTCTGTAAGTGTTTTTCTTATAAGATAAGAAATGTAACAGAAAATATATTTCATTAAATTTGTATAAATTCATTATAATATAGTGCTATTTATAGATTAAACATAAATCTTTAGAATATAGGTCCAAGCTTACGACCAGGTCCTGAGTTTTGTCCTCGGATTGACATAACGAATGGAGATTCATCTTCGATATTAGTACCTTATGGACAAAAGAAGAAAATTCAAGTCAAAGTAAAAAATATAATGGTATAATTAATTTAAAGTATTAGTCTTACCGTGCTTATCTACACTTATGTTCAATTAAGTACAACTCTTTTGTAGCAACTTATTGTGCAAACTAGATTTGTCTGCCGCGTTAAAATTGAAGATCGGGTTTACCAAGTCAATGCTCAAATTCTTGGTGATACCATATATTGTGATGTGATAACGGTAAATGTATTTATAAAATTCAAAAGTTATATATATTTTTTATAAGAACCGATTTAATTTTAAAATGCAATAATTATTTGAAACTTTAACAATATGTAGTTTTCTCATGAAATACAATCAGGAAATGCGACTGCATCATTTTATGTTATATGGGATGGTTCAAAACCTTTAGATAATCCAAAGAATATCCATGGTAAGTATGTCTATATATTTGTACAGTGGTCTGAGCTGTTCTATATTTGTTACATATTTTTTGTATATCTTACATTTCCTATAAAATTACCTTTGTCATAAACTTTTTGAAAGCTTATCTATGGAGTAATTTCGATATACAGTACATAACTTAGAAAATATTTTAGCGATTTTTTTTATTGCTTCCAGATATTACTGGGGTTAATTTGAATCGATAGTAACCGACTCAATTGTTTCTAAACATGCCAAAAGTTCGTAAATGGGTACTGACATTTATCTATTGATGAGGCTTAATGTGCTGTTTGAGAATAAGCTATACATGCATTATAGTTGTGGATTTTAACGGTTCATAAAACCAGTAGCGAATTATTGTCACTTTATTCTGTGGCCGCCATCGTGAACACGGTCTAACAACACTTAAAAAACGAGTTGTTGTATGGCAACGGGGGGAAAAAAAGGTGTGAAAGTTCGTTGAGTTGCCCGCATGTAGCCTGGGGATGTAGACGACGGCTCTGATCTTATTTTAATAAAGTTCTTTTGTTATTGTTTGTGTGTGCCTGCTTAGTGTTGGTATTTTAAGGATCAGTAGGATTGAATGACAAAATTCTATTTAAAACACGGTAGTTAAGGGAAGCCTTAGCCTACTTTTGACGTAACAATTTTTGATACTTACTGTTACGATAATGTCCCTCAGAATGAAATATAGTAACTGAAGTTTCTTGGAATAAAAGTTAACTATGAAAAATAANTCGCATTTGTCAAAATGATGTACATTATTATTCCTATACAGAAGTACCTCTTGAATGTCGAGCTGATGACGGAACTCATTATAATCTTGCTCAGGCAGGATATGTTGGTCATCCTGGATCAGAACTTGCTGCGAGTTTAGGTATCACTACCCAAGATGATGTTCTATATGTTGTTTTTGCAAAATCTAAAAGTGACAGTGATACCTACTTTAAACCTAGTGCCAATTCTGCATTGTGTGTTTATGCATTATCTGCTATCCATCGAAAATTTACTCAAAATATTCAAAATTGTTTTAATGGAGTTGGTCAACGAGGATTGGATTTCATTAATCCTAGTCAACAATGTTCACAAACTGTAAGTAATATTTCAATAGGTATTAATTTTTAAAATTCCAATAATATAATTCCCGTATTGATTTTTAAATATTTATATAATGAAATCGAATGGATGGCCGAGCGGTTAAGGTGGAAGCCTGTCGCTCGAGAACTAATGTGGACGGATCAAAAATCCTATGAATTTTTGGGATGGTGGTCCGTTCGGATATGTCGGACTCCATCCCTCACTACCCGGCCGCCCCGTTATGGGTCTGGCCGAACCCATAATGGGCTTACTAAAAGAGATACTCTTAGTACCCATAGGGCGGAAAGAGTTTTAAAAAACTATTGTATTACGATTCTGGTTGAACCCATGGCAATCATGAAGTAAGAGTAAAAAAAGCCATAAAGTATTTTTGTTTAATCTATTAATGCGAAATATATTTGCGATTTTGTGGATAAGAATAGGCATTTTAATCTTAAAGTTTGGTTAATATGTAATACGAAGTGTGTCGTGGTCGATAATTATTATACTGTATTAGGTTATTTGATATAAAGCAGTTTCCAGCTTCCCAAGTCACACAAGCAAAGTAACAATGCAGAAGTCACATCATCACCAGGAACGCGTGTTTCGTCGTCGTTTGTGTGGAGCAACACAAATTTTTTCAACATATCCAAAGAAGATAAAACTGAATGAAGTAATTGAGAAAAAATTTGGCTTTTGTCATTTGATGGTATGACCGTTATTTTTTTGTAAAGTTTTCTTAATTCGAAACTTATTACAAATTGCCAATTTTTAAGTTCCGTCAACTTTGTATTGTCGGGGTTTGACTATATACGTTCACTACGTATTCAAACTAATCAAAAATTTGAAATATTCGAATATTCGAGGTTTGGTTAATATTCAAACTCGAGAAAAGTGATATTCGTTTACGTTACGACGATTGGTTGGCCGAAAGGGCCAACCAATCGCGTAGTTCCAGGTGGTTCCAAAAGTGAGCACTATAGTACCCTTGTGTCGGTCAGTAAATCTAAGGGGGTGGCAGGGGGGAGCTAGAGGCAGATACTGAAAGGTAACCATAGTCGAGAGTTGAGTCACCGACAATCTTTCCCTTCCCTCTGTTAAAATGGGTAAGAAGAAAGATTGCATTTAATGGTTTCCAGATGTGGATAACAATGTTCAGTAAGTGTGAGATTCATAGGAAAGTCTTTCTAAGAATGTTTCCAAGTCTTACTCGCACAAGGAAAAAATGGGTTAGGGGCGTTGGGTATAAGTTTATGGAACCAAGATAGCTTAAAAAAGTTTTGGATCACTGGGCTAAAATATATGAGTTGCTTTTTTGGGAGATTGGATTTAAGTCGAAGTCAGATTTTCAAAAATTTTGTTGAAAATTATATATGTCCACCCTCTCCAGTATCACCAGTGACGTAGTGGATAACACTACTGAACACTGGTAGTATGCCATGGGTTTCTCATTACCAACAGGTTAGTTGCATGGAGTTTTTTGAGTTTTTTCGTGTATCCAACATTTGAGTAGAAGTTGGTTTCTAATCGAAAACTTATCTCCTTTGGCAGATTGCCAAAACCAATTGATCAAACCAAACCATCCTCTCCACTTGTATTTCACTTGATTTTCTTTTCAGTTGTGCTTCAGTTGCTCAGGTATATTCAGCAGAGAAGACTGTGCCTTGAATACACCTATGATTATCAATTAATTTTTTGTGTGTAGAATAATTAGAATTTATTCTATTATTTTATACATAGATTTCAATTTAAATTAATGCAATCTACTTGTTTTTTTTTGTAGAAATTGTCATTAATTATAAGGTTCTTTATGAGAACTTTTCAAATAATAGAATTAATATTCTTTGTAAACTAATTTGATTAATTTTATTGACTAAATATTGTTTAAATGAGTGACAATTGTCTTATTGTTATCAAATTATTTTTCAATCTGAGATGTAAAGAAAAAAGTTATATAACTACCTATTCATTTTGGTTTTTTACCAAGAAAACATATTTACAAATGGTAATCTGCAATATACTTTTTTAATTTAGCAAGTTCAAATTGATGATGACTTTTGTGGTTTGGATATTAATAACCCACTAGGAGGAACTATTCCAGTTAAGACATCGCCAATTGTACAATATAATGGGGTTTTATTGACAGCTGTTTCAGCAATGCCTGCATATGACAATACTGTAGCATTTCTAGGTACATCAACCGGACATTTAAAAAAGGCAAGGAAGTTTCCTTTATATTGCAATTATTACATTTCATTTTCATAAATAAAATGTTTTAACAGGTTATAATTGAATCTGCAACAGTAGCAAATGAGTATAGCGATATTACAGTTGATGAAGGAAGTGCTGTCAACCCTGATATGCTGTTTGATAAAGAACAAAGTATTTACGTCATGACAAAAAATAGAGTATGATTTTTAAAGTTGCTTTTTTACATAAGATATTTTGAAATATTCTAAATACTTTTTAAAGATTTTTATTTAATGTTTTTATGATATTTAGGTAACGAAAATGAAAGTACAAGAATGCCTCAATTTTAATACTTGCGATGATTGCATTGGTGCAAATGACCCATTTTGTGGATGGTGTACAATACAAAACAAGTATGTGTTTTGTAATAAAAAACAAATAAAGCGTATTTTTGTAATAGTTGTGAATGCCGTTAAGAAAATGATCTATTTAATCTCATCATCAATGCCAAACAAATCAATTACTACGTTAAATCATTGTTTACATTATTACGACTCTGTTCTCTACTAGAACAGGGTCGTAATAATATTGTAAGCAATTTAAAATGCGTATTGTTACTAGTTCTAAAATTCGTAGCCTAAGACACCATCAGTGAGCTGTTCAATTAGTCTATTTATTACGAGTGTGCTTTGCGAAAGGTTTCGAAAGACTAACAATAGCTCTTGACTGTGCAATATACAGGTGCTTTCTCAGGAAGGCATCAGGCAACGCTCTAATAGAATCGTTTTTATTTCATTGTACTGTAATACAGATTTAAGTGTATAAGCTACCATGCCAAAATTTGTTTTTTAATTATTACTCCATCCTGTGATATTTAAACGAAATAGATAGACGCTAACATACGCACATACATATAACCACAAAATATTTTTCCGTTTGTTTTGGCATTTTTGGGTTCGTGGGTTTCAAAACGATTTGCAAAAAACCTGAAGGATCAAATTTAAGACTATTCCAATACTTTTCCTTGTTATGTATACATAAAACTAATAAGCGAGTATATTTTAAAAGAAAAATTAATTAATTCAGCTATTACCTATACGGAATTCAAATATAACACTGTTTTTTTATACTTTCATTTGCTTAATTAAACTTCGCTCGAAAAATTCACTCGCTTGCATCTGAATGCTCATAGCTTAAATTCTAACAAATACTCATGTAAACAAAATATTGTTTCATACATTTATGTTTAAAACTCAAGCAAAATAATGGCATTAGTTGTTGAAAAACGCAATTGGCGATGCATGCTGTTATGTAAAACTGTTCAAAATTTGAATATAACTTTCATTTGATGATGGGCGAATGATGGACAAACGAATGGCATAATTTACTTTGAAAAAACACCATTGGAAGTGCCAACAGATCTGTAGATATGGTAAGAAAGATCTCAAATTTGAACAATTGGTAGAAATTTCCTTAATAATTGTATATCTTGCTGATAACTTTGATGGCCTTGTTGACTTTTGGTGCTATATTTATCACTTTTAACGCAAAATTTGTCAATTACACTCGTAGATCAAATGAAATGTTTGGCAATCTATCTATTTAACTTTCCTCCATGTTTCAAAATGGTTATTTGCCCTTTTTCAAAACGATACCCCCTGAGAATATTGATAAATTCCATCACAATAAAAATACTCGAATTAATTGTTAACTAGACTTGTGTGAATATTTATGAGTCTCAATGAGTGAGTTATTTCAATAGAAATTATAATCACTGCCTTTATACTTTTGGGACACGAAAACTATTGGATATCGATAGATAATATTTTTTATTACAGGAACAGTTTTTATTGAATATCACTTTTCTCATCATTTTATTTACCAGACTGTCATGTATACATAACAAGAGAAAGTATTGGAATCGTGTCAAATTTACCCTCCGGGTTTTTGCAAATCTTCGTTTTGAAACCTATTGAACCCAAAAAAGTCAAAACCACAGGGGAAAACCTGTGGATATATAACCTATGTATATATCATTGTGTGTGTGTGTTTATTGGAGTCTGTCGTTTAATATCTCGAGATGAGATAATGATTAAGAAATGAAATTTGGCATGGTAGCTCGCATATAAGGGAAATTGATGCTATTAAATTTTGATGGTTAAAGGTCGAGAGGATGGAGAGATAAAGAGGGTACTTTTGTCATATCTCGAGAGGAACCGGACTTGATGAAGATTTTACTCGTAATTAACATTTAGCCTACAATTATTTTTTTTAAATAAAACTCATCTCTGCCCTCAAAATATGCGTTTTACGATTTTATAATAATTAATAATACCGGTATAAAAATTTTAATGCTAAAATCTCAATAGATGGCGCCGCACACTATATATTATTTGTATGATTAATAATATAAAAGTTATTTTTTAAAAGTAAATCTTTCAACAGCCGGGAAAGTTACGCAACTCTTTGCTGGATTTTTATAGATCATATGAAATAAAAATTAAACTCATTTTATTGATCAAAACGTGATTTAAAAATTTTTCCAATTAGAATAACTTTCTTTATAATTATGGAACACACCTTAAATGATGAGAAGAATGGTTTACTGGTGGTGCCTGTAAGGACAACCTTAGGCACTTGCTCAAATAGAACAATGGGTCCGGACACGTCCGAATACAAGGACAGATCTAGGGGCATTTTGCATTTATTTGCAGTAAGACCCCGCTTAACGCTGCTTCGCTTAACTTTGATTCATTATAACGCGGTCTGCTCGAAGCCTAAAAAAGCTCAAAATTAACGCTGATTTAAATTATCGCGGCATTCCATCGATTCGTATATAATACGATTATTTGCGAACACAAACCAATCAGCAAAAGATGGCAAAAAGTGTACTTTCTTTAAATCTATGTTTGTTTGGTTCAATTTTGGAAAAAATATAACACCATGGATGCCATAGGAAATATCGACTTCGCTTGACAATAATTAACTGATAAATGCACGAACGAAGTGTGGAAGAAGTTATGGCTGTAGGTATCCAAGAATTCTCAACGAGAAGAGCCTATAGCCAAGGACTATATCCTTGGCCTATAGCTATATCGTTAGGTTGACCAAACTCAACGTAATCGATATAGCAGGACTAGGAGAAGTAGACGATCAGGATATTGAGGAGTTACCGCAGGTTTTTGGTGAGAGTCTTACCAACGACGACCTACAAGAGCTGGCAGAACATGGAATTCCTGTGGAACTGAAAAATAAGAGCTTCTGAAAATGAAGAACCCAAAAAATTTCTCTACAGATTTCCTTAGTAAAAGTTTGGTAAGATAACCGATATCGATGATCAAATTGTAGCGAATGATCCAGATTTTGAAAGGAGTGAAAAAGCGAAACAATGCGTTTTGGATGCAATCTTCTGTTACCGACATTTGTTTAAGGAAAGAAAAAAGCGACAAATGAAACTACAGGACTTTATCGCAAAAAACAAAAAATTCAGAAAAGCCAGGACCTTCCTCACAAAAAATGAACTTGCATTTCTGTGTGCATATGTTTATCTGTTATTTAAAATATATTATTATACAAATTAATATAAAAATAACTTAAAATTAAAGTTGTTTCTGTTTGGCCGCGTGTTTCCCTATCCCTATTTACTCTATGTTAAAATAACCTAATTTAACGTTGTTTCGTTTAGCGCCTTGCTGTCTAGGAACGCATCCTCGGCATTAAGCGGGGTCTTACTATATATTAGTTTATTACATTTACAATTAATACAAATCATCGAAAATTATTATTAAAAAAGTTAATTTAAGCCATTTTTAATACTCAAAATTTCATAAATATACATGCACATATATAAAATCAACGATTATTTTAATAGACGTAATTATTTTCGTTTAGTTGATACAGTATAATTAAATTTTAATTGGATTATATTTAAAATTTTCTTTTAAAGATGCAGTTTACGTGAAGAATGTGCTGGTATTTCTCAAGAAACAATTGATTGGCTATCCTATAAACATGACAAATGTATAACAATAACCAAAATTCATCCAGAAAGTATCCAAAGTACAACTGCTCGAGTAGTAAGTAGTAATTGCTTTTAAATTATTAGTAAATTGTTGAAGATATATTCAAGTTCACTTGTATTTTGATATTGCATGATTATAAAATAAAGTAACAATAATGTATTTAAAAATTTTTGAATTTTACAGCATTACCTTGTAATAAGCATGAGATTTTCAAATTGTTTTAATTGATATTGCCATTATGGAAAGAAGTTCTAAATAAATAAAATTAACATTTTTAAAATTTTTTTCCAGCTTTCTCTAACAGTTAATAATCTTCCCGTGTCAGAAGATAAATTATTCTGTGCATTCAAAGTTATAGATCGAACTATAATACGAACTATAATAACGAATGCTACAAGAACAGCTTCTGGTGTTACGTGTGCAACTCCAAACACATTTTTTATTCCGCCTATTCCATCTGGTCATCGTAAGTTACAAAATTATTATCTTTTATTTATTTAATTAATTTATAAATCAAATAAGTGTACGAAATTAATTATTTTGAAAATATATTTTTAATTAAATATTTATTTATTTTTTAATACCATTAAAATTAATGATGAGCATTAATTATATAAAAAGTAGTTAACTACTTATAAAAACTGTGTGTAATTTTACTAATAGTTAACTACATTTAAACTACTCAAAAATAGAAAAAACAAAATATTAGATTGGATTAAAATAATAGCTCTGTTTCCTCTTCACTCTTGTCATTTAACACTTTTAAATCTTTTTAAACTGAAGCCTCAAAATAAATAAATAAAAAAATTGGAAAAATTTGTATATAACATTATGTGTTTAAGTTTATCTCAACAGGAAAAACAGATGTTTCACTGTAGCACTACTGTCAAGGGTAGTGTTTTATTGTAAAAATGCATGTTTTTTACATGCCGGTAGCTGTTTAACACTCAAGCTAACATTTTTGTTTCCTAAATTCCCAATTTAACTTGAAAATTCCTGCCATCCAATTTATAAAGCTGGCAACATTGTTGTTGGACTTTTCCAGCATTCTTTGTTTTCATCTCTAATACGTAATTGCTACCATTATAATGAGTTAAAAGTAGTGGAAACTAAACATGTACTGTACAGTAAAACCTGTTCAAAACGAAAAGAATTCTTCGAAACACAGCGATTTTCTGTGTTAAAAAACCTGTTTAAAACGGAAACCTGCCAAACTGGAAAGATTATTCGGTATCGCGCGAGTCCGGTTTACAAAAGTTTTACTGAAGTTATCTATTAGTTGAATTACTAAATTTGGATAGTAATAAGAATTGTAACTAGTACTATAGTTAACTACGTATTTTTAATTACATCTGTAGTTAATTGCCCATCTTTACAGACAATAAATTATAAAATTGAAAAACATAACAGAAAGTAGTTTCAATTTTCTGTATGGATTATTCATTCTAATTATTTATAAATAGGAAAAAATGCATCTTAGTAAAAATAGTAATAAATGTCTTTGAAAAATAAATAATAATATCAGTATATAAGGTATATTTTTATTTTGTTAAAAGAATAATATTACAGATGAATGGTGTTTATTTCTTTATGATACAATAGAATACAGTACTGTAATTTAACTGATTCATAACAATACTTTTATAGATAATCTCAGATCTAGGCTGTATATCGTAGATGAAAAACAAATCAAATATACATCAACGAATTTTACCTTTTTTGACTGTACGACGTATACTTCGTAAGTATTTTAAAATTTTCAGTTATATTTATTTTGATTTAAAAATTTACAATAAAGTAATTTTAAATAAGTTTAAAAAAATCAGGTGATTCTATATAAAATACCCTATTCAACGCTCTCTAAAGAGATATTTAACAGTCTAAATATAACCGAATTTAGTAATGTGACATTTTAGGACATGCGAAAACTCACCTATCTGACAGGTTTCTCTCTGAAAGCAACAAAAAAGGCAGTTTCATTTGTGAGGACATTTAAAACTCGTAGTATATCGATGACATACTGCAAATTTGGCAGCCTTGAAAGACAGTATTATTCTGTGTGTGAAAAGCATCAGAGGATCAATTGCGGTTAGCTGTTCAACACACTGTTCATCAACTTTAGGGTTTATACTTTAGAATGACTACAACATTGAGCAATAGACTCTAGATTGCTAGCGAGAGTTGGTGTACAGATCAAAATGTTTGTGCTTACAACGCCAAAAATAATATAATGATGAATTTTGGTACTAATTTTTTTTTAACTAAAATGTCTTCCGCATGTTCTGAACTGACAGAATACCAAATTTGTTTGCATTTTAACTACTAAATATTGCATTTAACTTCGGAATAGGAGTGCTTTAATTAAGATCACCAACCGTTTTCGATAAGATTTTCCTATCTCAATTAAAAAGAAATTTGATTTATTTATTTTAAATAATGAAACTTTCTAAAATTTACTTTTAAATACGTTATTTAAAATATTCATTTCAATGCATTTATTTTAGCTGCACGCAATGTGTTTCAAGTCCATTTCCGTGTAGTTGGTGTGTTGAAGGTCATCGATGTACACATAATATTGATGAATACTGTCGTAATGACATAATTATAACTGGTTCTGTAAGTGTTTTTCTTATAAGATAAGAAATGTAACAGAAAATATATTTCATTAAATTTGTATAAATTCATTATAATATAGTGCTATTTATAGATTAAACATAAATCTTTAGAATATAGGTCCAAGCTTACGACCAGGTCCTGAGTTTTGTCCTCGGATTGACATAACGAATGGAGATTCATCTTCGATATTAGTACCTTATGGACAAAAGAAGAAAATTCAAGTCAAAGTAAAAAATATAATGGTATAATTAATTTAAAGTATTAGTCTTACCGTGCTTATCTACACTTATGTTCAATTAAGTACAACTCTTTTGTAGCAACTTATTGTGCAAACTAGATTTGTCTGCCGCGTTAAAATTGAAGATCGGGTTTACCAAGTCAATGCTCAAATTCTTGGTGATACCATATATTGTGATGTGATAACGGTAAATGTATTTATAAAATTCAAAAGTTATATATATTTTTTATAAGAACCGATTTAATTTTAAAATGCAATAATTATTTGAAACTTTAACAATATGTAGTTTTCTCATGAAATACAATCAGGAAATGCGACTGCATCATTTTATGTTATATGGGATGGTTCAAAACCTTTAGATAATCCAAAGAATATCCATGGTAAGTATGTCTATATATTTGTACAGTGGTCTGAGCTGTTCTATATTTGTTACATATTTTTTGAATATCTTACATTTCCTATAAAATTACCTTTGTCATAAACTTTTTGAAAGCTTATCTATGGAGTAATTTCGATATACAGTATATAACTTAGAAAATATTTTAGCGATTTTTTTTATTGCTTCCAGATATTACTGGGGTTAATTTGAATCGATAGTAACCGACTCAATTGTTTCTAAACATGCCAAAAGTTCGTAAATGGGTACTGACATTTATCTATTGATGAGGCTTAATGTGCTGTTTGAGAATAAGCTATACATGCATTATAGTTGTGGATTTTAACGGTTCATAAAACCAGTAGCGAATTATTATCACTTTATTCTGTGGCCGCCATCGTGAACACGGTCTAACAACACTTAAAAAACGAGTTGTTGTATGGCAACGGGGGGAAAAAAAGGTGTGAAAGTTCGTTGAGTTGCCCGCATGTAGCCTGGGGATGTAGACGACGGCTCTGATCTTATTTTAATAAAGTTCTTTTGTTATTGTTTGTGTGTGCCTGCTTAGTGTTGGTATTTTAAGGATCAGTAGGATTGAATGACAAAATTCTATTTAAAACACGGTAGTTAAGGGAAGCCTTAGCCTACTTTTGACGTAACAATTTTTGATACTTACTGTTACGATAATGTCCCTCAGAATGAAATATAGTAACTGAAGTTTCTTGGAATAAAAGTTAACTATGAAAAATAAGTTAATGAATATTTATTATTATTATTTATTTATTTATCTGGCAGTGTAAAACAAAATAATCCTAAAAAAAGGGAAGATACTAATAAAATTGCATCATGTAAGAAGCAATTTTGTTAAATTCTTTGAAAATATTCTATAGTCTACAATGTCCTATATTGTCATATAAAAATTCTTATATATTTCTTCAAACAAATGCTGAGACCACTGTATACAGGGCGTCTCAGTATTTCCGACCCCACATTGCTATATGATTCCGAGTCGTCGGGATGCACCCTACCCCTCTTAGAAGTTCTGAAACGTTTAACTGAGACACCCTGTATATTCCTTTTTTTCCCATTGTTTATCCTAAATATTCAACATATTAATTTTATTTATTTATTTTAAGTGCTAATATACAAATGTGAAAAACTTGCAACAAACTGTAGATCATGTCTACAATTAGAGTCTAAATATGAATGTGGTTGGTGTTCAGATGGTTTAGGATCTTGTCGCATTCGTGAACAATGTAGTAGTTCTTTGCTATCTTTGGATGATTACGAGAAATGTCCTATACGTCAAAAGGTATTAAAAATTTTATTTTAATTTTTTTAAAAAACAATTTTAACGTAATAAATTTGAAAATTTAAATATTTCTAGTTCATACCATCAGGACCTTGGGAAAATGGTGAAAACGTTATAGTCACAGGAATTAATTTAGGACTTACGTTTACGGATATTAGTAGTAATGGTATAAAGATTTTACAAAATGATGGAAAAATAATTGCAAATTGTACACTTCACAAGGATCTACAAGAAAAAAGAACGATGTAATTTTTCATTACTATTTTTATATTCATCTATCATTATTCCTTATATATAAAATATTTTAATACATAAATATATTTTTCGTGTCAGAATTGCTTGCCAGAATGAGAAATTAAGAGTTGATCATCATCACGAACACATAGATAATATAATTTTTAAAATACAAAATAAAGAAAGTGGTTTAACCAAGTATGATTGCAGTGCTATTGTAAGTATTATTTTAATTACTTAATAAACGGGCCTTACATATTTCCCATATGGTATCTTCTTAAGAAACCGATTAGTGCCAAATTTTTTTCTCAATTCTGGCAATGGATAAAAACATTGGTAAACTTTTATCACATTGGTATGCGCGTGTGTTTATTTAATTATTTAAAAATTAGAAATTTTCATGTGTGCTTTTATATCTGTAGAAAAGTGTAGTCAGATTGAACAAAAAGATTTTAATATTTAAAAAAATGTAAATAAATTGAAGATTATGTTATTTAGTAGTCCGGAATTCTAAATGGAGGAGGTGAAATTCAAAATCTCCTTGTTGATTTAGTCCAAAAACATTATACGACGTAATTGGAATTTTTATAGTGGATTTAAATAAATTTGAAAAAATTTAGTTTTTAAAATGAATGTCAAAGAAAACAATAATAGAAATTACTCCAAAACTTTCAATATAAAAACTATTGTAATTTTGTCTGAAAAATCTCTATATATCATGTAAGTAATATGGACTCTTCTCGATACCCATCAGTATGTGTTCACAATATGTTGAACAAAACTGTTTATTTTCAGTATTTCTTCACAAACCACTTCCATATTTAGATGTCAGACACGAAGAAAATATTAAATAATCCATATAGCCAGCCCGCCGGTTAGGTGCGAACTTACGATCAACTATCAGTATTCAGCTGTTTTATCTATTCGGCCATGGGTGGACTTTGTTCGTATGTAATAAATTCAAATTTGAATTCATTATGCTTAAATTTATGGGCTCAGTATGAAGCAGCCCGAGATAGATATGATCCAGTGAAGATTTAATTTACGCCCGAATAAAATAATAAAACTATTAAAAATTCTTTACTCACTGATCCGATTTGACTATTTTTTCGGTTCATGTCTTTTCATATTCTTATTTCATTTTTCTATGATCTTTTCCACTGTTACTTCAGTTTTTAAATACTTTTCTACCCATTACACCCTCTATAAATGAAACTGTTCCATGATTAATGAATTTTTCTTCCTAAATTATTATTAATTCTATTACTGTTTTAAAATATAAATATATTCAAATAAATATGTCTTTTAAATCCATTTTTTTTTCTTTATTTTTATTGTATTTAAATTAATTTCATATCCTACAATAATGATACAACAATATAATAAGTCTTATTTATAAACAAGGTCCAAGTAGACAATATAGAAACAAAGTAAAATTATTTTTGTTATATTTTATAATTTTTAAACAACTGGACATGAACAGTGTGGATTTGAGAAAATTTTGTAATTTGGTTTCTCAGGCAGATTCCCTGTGGCAAATATATATGACCTTTTAAGTATTTAAAATATATTGTTGTAAAAATTCTTGAAATTATATACAATTTTTCAATAAAACTTAATAGATGTTTTAAGAATTACCAAGAACTTTTGACATTTAATTTTAAAAAAATTAATGTTTTAATAAAATTGAAATAAATTTTTTTATTTATATTCTGATAAATGTAATAAAATTTTTAAAAAATTATTTAGAGTCCAAAAATTGTGAACATTACACCTTCTATCGGTCCTAAATCTGGTGGAACACATCTGTTTATTTGGGGAAAATACATGAATATTGCTGAAGCTGTTGAAGTAGAAATAGGTGATATACCGTGTCATGTTATAAGGTAATGTTTTAATTTGAAATGTTACATATATTAATTAAAAACAGAATGTTAATTATTATATTATGGCATCATTGTTTTACCAAATTGAAATATAGCAGAAAAGTATGGATATTTTGGTATACAGTATTTTCACTGATGAAAATATTTTTCATTTAGAATGGAATTATGTTAAAAATACAGTGGAACCTCTCTTAAGCAAATTCTTTATTATGGACATGGACGTACAAAATACAAAATAGTCATGGGCATCCGCATAGGGAGTAAAGTAAACAGGGCACTTGCCCTCCCTTAGAATTGACTAAAAAATTCCACAAATTATAGCCTAATTATAAAGTGATTGAGATTTATACTTACATTCTCGACTATGAGACACTTTGTATGTCTTATAAAACCTCCTAAAATTTTAGGGTCCCTTATTTATTAAAATTTAATAGTTTTTTAATATAATTTTAATACTTTATTCTGATTGTGGTTCCTTAGTGCTTGCTCTGGCTTTCCAAAAGTTGTTGATTTTTGGCATATGCCTCCCTTGAAATATTCTGTGCTCCCAACGATGTCACATGGCCCGTTGATAAACTATTGTCGACTATGGGATATTTTGAAATAATTTAACAAAATTACTTTTTACATGATGCAACTTTATTAGTACAGTATCTTCCTTTTTTTTAGAATTATTTTATCTTACACTACCAGATAAAAGACAAGAAATATTTATTGACTAATTTTTCGGAATTAATTTCTCATTATTCCAAGAGCCTTCAGTTCTTAAATTTCATCCTCAGGAACAATATTATAATAGTAAGTATCAAAAATTGTCATTTTAAAGGCTGAGATTTAGTAAGGCTTCCCTGACTAATCTTTGTTGAATAGAATAAAATGACATTAAATATATATCATTGTAATCTAATGATAATTCTAGTTACCTCTACTGACTTGGCTCTCGTTTTAGGTAATGTTAGCCCGTAATGGATGTAATTTAAAATCAACTAAATATTGATTTTAGTTCAATTGCATTGTAATAGTAGACTATTATTGAATTTAAAAACTGTTTTAATACCTTTATCATAAATGAGAAGTTAAAATGAAAATAATATGATAACAGAAGGTCATTATTTCTACCGGTATTATGTTCATATAGCTTCTATGGATAAATTTTCATAATTTCTAATGATCCATTTCACCCTATCTAAAGTGATTCAAATCACTTCATATGCAATAAAACATTTTTAGTTGTTGACTACTGCCATATTAGGCATACCACAACATAACAATCTTGAAATTTTTTCCATTTTTGCTTAATAAGAGATTTGTATTTTTATTTGTAATTATAAGCATAGTATTCAGTTTATTGTTAGTCCTGATAATATGTAGAACAGTGGCGTGCCGTGACATTTGAAGATAGGGAAGCTGTGTTTCTGTAAGAAGCCGACTTCCAGGGGCAATCAGTTAATTGCGCGTCAGTGATGGTCTAGGGTCCATTCGTACTCGTTTGTTCGATAAGCCAGTAAAAACCGTAGACTTCTCTAAATGTATTTTTAATATTACAATTACATTCCGAATCGCTAGCCACAATATAAGGATTAAAATTAAAAATACTGTAATAAAAACTTACTTTTGTTTAAGTAAAATTCCGGCTCTTTCAACAGAGTTTTATTTATGTCCCTAATTCCTTAATCTCTTAATTATTTAACTACTTCTTTAGTAGAAATAAGTCGAAACCGGTTACTTTGTACTTGAATATTTGTAGTGTCGAAAAAGAAGTGGAAAGACAAATTTTTATGACAAACGGATACATAAATCGTAAATTTAAGGAAAATAAATTCTAGAGCTTTTTTGTACCTTGTGTATCTCATTCATTACATTTAGTTGTACATGATGCTGCCGAAGTAACAGTTAATTTTTTAGCATTGTACAAGAATTATACACGTTTCTTTCTACATTCCCTTATATATGGGACATACGAAATCGTAATATCACTAGTTTAATATTGAAATCCGTAAGTAATATAAGATGGGAGCGCGGAATAAAAGCGGAATAAATATATTAAATATTTTAATGGATTTATTTTAACTCCTGTCAACTATGCAGAACTATCATAAAAACATAAATTCCTATCGGTTGGGTTAAGTTATAAATCTCGTAATTCACATAATCGGGCAAGGGCGGCCAAATATCTAGCGGGAAGGCGGCTAACAGTTCAGAACCGATCCTGGATAGAATCATTGGAAGCGTTGTGTGTGTAGCTTCCACCGTGAGTTGGTACTCTGTAAAGCGTATGCGCGAATGCCTATAATTTGGTCACTTGGAAGCTGACCCGGTTTCGACAATACAGCGCTTCCATTCCGCCACTGATATTCGAATATACAATAGCAATCTTGTCGTTTTTTTTCACATGTAGTTTAGAAATTTGTAATAAGATACATAATGCGGTTATAATTAAATAAAGTACGTTAAAATATGAAAATAATCGCGCAATATGTATTTATATTTTAGAAAATACATATTGCGCGATATTTTCATAAAAAGGATAGCACGCTACTGATGTAGGAATAAAACACTTAAAAATATGATGCCTTATATGATTTATTTCACACCTGCTTACTCTAATCTTTATTATTACAATATAGGTAAATATTATCTAATTAGATGTTATTAACTATTTCTTTTTTTTTTCTAGAAGAAAAACAAAAGTTATTGAATGCATTACTTCACCTTCCCAAAGCATTACAAAAGATAATGTTAGAATAAAGTTTGATAATGATTTCAGAATTTCTGAACAACAATTTCAATATGTTGACAATCCTATAATAACTTCTGTACGGTCTCAGTTATATGATGAGAAAAACGTTCTTAAAGGTATACCAAGGTGAGACTTTAAAGAAAATATTTTTATTTACTTTTGTTTAAGACTTAATAACTATAACAATTCTTTAAAAAAGTAAAGAGTTTGTTCTATTTTGTACAAAAATTGAAATAATTTGAAAATAAATAAAATGTACATTTATTATTTAATGAAATTTATTTAGTTTTTATAAATGTTAAAATATATAGAAAAAAATTTTAATATTCTATCTCTTTATATATTTTTCTTACATTATCACACATTATTTTCAGATTACTAGATTACTTACATTAAAAAGACAAATCTACACAGAGTTTACATTACAGATTATACATTGGGATCCAGCATAATAATTTCAAAATTTGAATTCCTGTAATATTTTCAAGTTTTTCAGTTTGTAAAATATCAACAATGCCTGTTAGAAATTTTATATATTAAAACCTAGGCTTAAATACACAACTTGAGTATTATCTTGCATAATTTGTTTAGTCTATTAATTATTTTTTTATGAATTGAAAACTTCAAATAATGAGCACAATTCAAATTTCCTTAAAATAACAACAAAAATTAATGCAGGGAATCTAACACAGATTTTCGTTATTAAAACATCAAAATTATTTAAATTTAAAATATTAATTTTATATACTATTTTATTTCCTCGGCTCTTACTTTTTCTTGTGTAACAAGTTGTTTTGTGTTTCTAAGTTTTACATACAGAATTTACAAATAATTTTTATTGACCAGTTCATTTTATAAAATTAACTTTATAAACTAGTAAATTCATTTTCAATTTCATTTATTACATTTTTCAGTGGCGGTTTAACAATAGATGTAGAAGGCACTAATTTGGATGCAGTTGAATCACCAAAGATGTATTTAATCTTTGAAAATGTAAAGTATAGAAGTGTAAGTTTTGAATGTTTATAATTATTGATGTTATTTGATTTTCAATTGTTATTTAGTAAATTAGTAATGCATAATTTTCATGTTAAAATAATCTGTACAGAAAAATTTAATTTTATCTTGTTACATATTATAAATGTAGTATGTATTGATAACTACTTACATTTGCTGGTTAACTAATATACACTCAATAAGTATATGTAATTATATTCAATAATGTCAATATATGTGGATTATGTGCTACATTATCATATTTGTATTATATGCCAGTATAATACAAAAGACTTTTTTAACCTGTATACAGAGAAGGAATTGCTGGCAAAACAGCCAAATATGTAATATTGCATCCCTAGTGATATCCTTTCATGAAAATTTTCTGGTTTGCCAATCTAGATAGTATTTTAAACAATTATTTATAACATACTTTTAACAGGAAATTGATAACATGTTTTTTCAAGAAGTAAGTTTCCTGTGGTAATAACAAAAAGGGAAAAACTAAACTTAAATTAATAGAAAGTGTAATAAGTAATTATCCAAACTTTTTGTATTATTATAATTATTTTTTACATAAAGTATATAAAAAGTAATGTGTTTAGATCATCTTTATTAACCTATTAAAATTAAAATTTCAGAACTGTACAGTAAAATCACCAAATGAAATGAAATGTGAAAGTCCCTCAATACCTTATGTTGTGAAAGATGAAGAAGTTTTGCAACTAGATTATGGATTTGAAATGGATAATGTGGAAGAAGTAAAAAACATGAGTAGCAAAATTGGATTTCATAAATTCCAAATATACCCTGATCCTACATATTTATCATTTGATGACAAAAACTGTATAAAAAATTTCAGAAGTGATTATTTAACGATCTTTGTAAGTTTTAAATTTGAAAATTATTTCAAATGACAAATATTTTACACCGGATTTAATAAATTATCTTATTTTTAATTATAGGGTAAAAATCTAAATTATGCTTCTGATGAGATTGATATTTTTGTGCAAATAGGCACCGAACATTGTGTTATTACTTCCATTTCACGAACACAATTGACATGCCGACCACCAGCTTCCCAGCCTTCAGCAATAAGATTACCCGGTGCACTTGATAAGGAAAACCTACCTGAAGTCACAGTAATTTTCTTTTGTTTTTTAAAATATACGTGTGGTTGTATGCAGTAAAAACAATTTTGTAAAAACGAATCTATATAAAATAGAATTAAAACTCAAAAACAAGTACTTGAAAGATTATAGGAATTAAAAATGTGTCCAGATAAAACATGTTTTGAAGCGTTTGAGTGACAAATGTTCTTCAAATACTGTATGTTGCATTTTTCACAGAATTTCATTAGTGATGTTAAATCAGATAAAACATATTTTTGAACATTCTGTTAGTTCAGAAAAAAGGATATTAATATTACAACAGATATATAGGGATGCTCTATCAGATAGAGCATCCATTTACATAAACTTTTATATGATAGTTTATTTTATAAAAATTTAACTACGACCGCAATAAATTGATAGCTACTTTCAGCGGGCCAAAAAAAGTAATCAGACACTGGTAAAATTACAAGTGTGAACTCAGTTTTATGAGAATAATGATTCAGCAAACTAAGCTAACATCATAATTTTTATACAAGAGGATAGAACTTTTATTGGTAGAGATTTTAGCCGTTGAGTTTGCTTATATTGACTTACACAGATCAAAGCTAGCATGAATTGAATGTTGATTACTTCTAAATTAGACGTAAAAAATTAATCAAACATTTTACCTTTTAAGCAGTCAAACTTTTATTTATTCATAAGGATACATTCGATTTTGTTGAACCTCCACGGGCCTTTATCACAAGCTCTAAGCCTTTTGGCATTGATAAAACCAACTTTCTAGTTGTATTTTCACTGAGGTTGTTCCAGATATCTAATAACGCCTCTTTCATATCTTATTTCTTCTTAAATCTTTTGTCTCGTAGGTGCTCAAATTCAATCGTGACTCTGAAAAGACCGTTCCAGATGGTTGACTTGATTTTTAACAAAAGAAAATCCTTTGCAATGCGCGAAATATGCTTGGAGTCGTTATCCTGCTAAAAGATGAAATCATCACTCAAGTCCATTTTTACCGCAGAAACGAAGAGATTTTCGTTAAGAAAATACATTGACAATACATTTAGGCGTTCATAATGCATCAATAAATTCAAGCTTCCTGACATCCTTTGCTACCATGGAATCACAAAACATAACGTTACAACCACCATATTTTATGGTACCACGCGTTCATGCCAGCTGGAACTCTTTCCCGGGCTTTCTCCAAACTTTCTGTCATCCGTCTGAGCATAAGTTTAAATTTCGATTGGGCGAACCATAAAATTTTTTACCAGTAAGAGGTATGCAGTAAAAAGAATTTTGTAAAAACGAATCTATATAAAATAGAATTAAAACTCAAAAACAAGTACTTGAAAGATTATAGGAATCAAAAATGTGTCCAGATAAAACATGTTTTGAAGCGTTTGAGTGACAAATGTTCTTCAAATACTGTATGTTGCATTTTTCACAGAATTTCATTAGTGATGTTAAATCAGATAAAACATATTTTTGAACATTCTGTTAGTTCAGAAAAAGGATATTAATATTACAACAGATATATAGGGATGCTCTATCAGATAGAGCATCCATTTACATAAACTTTTATATGATAGTTTATTTTATAAAAATTTAACTACGACCGCAATAAATTGATAGCTACTTTCAGCGGGCCAAAAAAAGTAATCAGACACCGGTAAAATATATGTTAGCATATTTGTATTATATGCCAGTACAATACAAAAGACTTTTTTAACCTGTATACAGAGAAGGAATTGCTGGCAAAACAGCCAAATATGTAATATTGCATCCCTAGTGATATCCTTTCATGAAAATTTTCTGGTTTGCCAATCTAGATAGTATTTTTAACAATTATTTATAACATACTTTTAACAGGAAATTGATAACATGTTTTTTCAAGAAGTAAGTTTCCTGTGGTAATAACAAAAAGGGAAAAACTAAACTTAAATTAATAGAAAATGTAATAAGTAATTATCCAAACTTTTTGTATTATTATAATTATTTTTTACATAAAGTATATAAAAAGTAATGTGTTTAGATCATCTTTATTAACCTATTAAAATTAAAATTTCAGAACTGTACAGTAAAATCACCAAATGAAATGAAATGTGAAAGTCCCTCAATACCTTATGTTGTGAAAGATGAAGAAGTTTTGCAACTAGATTATGGATTTGAAATGGATAATGTAGAAGAAGTAAAAAACATGAGTAGCAAAATTGGATTTCATAAATTCCAAATATACCCTGATCCTACATATTTATCATTTGATGACAAAAACTGTATAAAAAATTTCAGAAGTGATTATTTAACGATCTTTGTAAGTTTTAAATTTGAAAATTATTTCAAATNTCAGAATTGCTTGCCAGAATGAGAAATTAAGAGTTGATCATCATCACGAACACATAGATAATATAATTTTTAAAATACAAAATAAAGAAAGTGGTTTAACCAAGTATGATTGCAGTGCTATTGTAAGTATTATTTTAATTACTTAATAAACGGGCCTTACATATTTCCCATATGGTATCTTCTTAAGAAACCGATTAGTGCCAAATTTTTTTCTCAATTCTGGCAATGGATAAAAACATTGGTAAACTTTTATCACATTGGTATGCGCGTGTGTTTATTTAATTATTTAAAAATTAGAAATTTTCATGTGTGATTTTATATCTGTAGAAAAGTGTAGTCAGATTGAACAAAAAGATTTCAATATTTAAAAAAATGTAAATAAATTGAAGATTATGTTATTTAGTAGTCCGGAATTCCAAATGGAGGAGGTGAAATTCAAAATCTCCTTGTTGATTTAGTCCAAAAACATTATACGACGTAATTGGAATTTTTATAGTGGATTTAAATAAATTTGAAAAAATTTAGTTTTTAAAATGAATGTCAAAGAAAACAATAATAGAAATTACTCCAAAACTTTCAATATAAAAACTATTGTAATTTTGTCTGAAAAATCTCTATATATCATGTAAGTAATATGGACTCTTCTCGATACCCATCAGTATGTGTTCACAATATGTTGAACAAAACTGTTTATTTTCAGTATTTCTTCACAAACCACTTCCATATTTAGATGTCAGACACGAAGAAAATATTAAATAATCCATATAGCCAGCCCGCCGGTTAGGTGCGAACTTACGATCAACTATCAGTATTCAGCTGTTTTATCTATTCGGCCATGGGTGGACTTTGTTCGTATGTAATAAATTCAAATTTGAATTCATTATGCTTAAATTTATGGGCTCAGTATGAAGCAGCCCGAGATAGATATGATCCAGTGAAGATTTAATTTACGCCCGAATAAAATAATAAAACTATTAAAAATTCTTTACTCACTGATCCGATTTGACTATTTTTTCGGTTCATGTCTTTTCATATTCTTATTTCATTTTTCTATGATCTTTTCCACTGTTACTTCAGTTTTTAAATACTTTTCTACCCATTACACCCTCTATAAATGAAACTGTTCCATGATTAATGAATTTTTCTTCCTAAATTATTATTAATTCTATTACTGTTTTAAAATATAAATATATTCAAATAAATTTGNTTAATCAAACATTTTACCTTTTAAGCAGTCAAACTTTTATTTATTCATAAGGATACATTCGATTTTGTTGAACCTCCACGGGCCTTTATCACAAGCTCTCAGCATTTAAATGTGAAAGTCCCTCAATACCTTATGTTGTGAAGGATGAAGAAGTTTTGCAACTAGATTATGGATTTGAAATGGATAATGTGGAAGAAGTAAAAAACATGAGTAGCAAAATTGGATTTCATAAATTCCAAATATACCCTGATCCTACATATTTATCATTTGATGACAAAAACTGTATAAAAAATTTCAGAAGTGATTATTTAACGATCTTTGTAAGTTTTAAATTTGAAAATTATTTCAAATGACAAATATTTTACACCGGTTTTAATAAATTATCTTATTTTTAATTATAGGGTAAAAATCTAAATTATGCTTCTGATGAGATTGATATTTTTGTGCAAATAGGCACCGAACATTGTGTTATTACTTCCATTTCACGAACACAATTGACATGCCGACCACCAGCTTTCCAGCCTTCAGCAATAAGATTACCCGGTGCACTTGATAAGGAAATCCTACCAGAAGTCACAGTAATTTTCTTTTGTTTTTTAAAATATACGTATGGTTGTATGCAGTAAAAAGAATTTTGTAAAAACGAATCTATATAAAATAGAATTAAAACTCAAAAACAAGTACTTGAAAGATTATAGGAATTAAAAATGTGTCCAGATAAAACATGTTTTGAAGCATTTGAGTGACAAATGTTCTTCAAATACTGTATGTTGCATTTTTCACANTCATTATAACGCGGTCTGCTCGAAGCCTAAAAAAGCTCAAAATTAACGCTGATTTAAATTATCGCGGCATTCCATCGATTCGTATATAATACGATTATTTGCGAACACAAACCAATCAGCAAAAGATGGCAAAAAGTGTACTTTCTTTAAATCTATGTTTGTTTGGTTCAATTTTGGAAAAAATATAACACCATGGATGCCATAGGAAATATCGACTTCGCTTGACAATAATTAACTGATAAATGCACGAACGAAGTGTGGAAGAAGTTATGGCTGTAGGTATCCAAGAATTCTCAACGAGAAGAGCCTATAGCCAAGGACTATATCCTTGGCCTATAGCTATATCGTTAGGTTGACCAAACTCAACGTAATCGATATAGCAGGACTAGGAGAAGTAGACGATCAGGATATTGAGGAGTTACCGCAGGTTTTTGGTGAGAGTCTTACCAACGACGACCTACAAGAGCTGGCAGAACATGGAATTCCTGTGGAACTGAAAAATAAGAGCTTCTGAAAATGAAGAACCCAAAAAATTTCTCTACAGATTTCCTTAGTAAAAGTTTGGTAAGATAACCGATATCGATGATCAAATTGTAGCGAATGATCCAGATTTTGAAAGGAGTGAAAAAGCGAAACAATGCGTTTTGGATGCAATCTTCTGTTACCGACATTTGTTTAAGGAAAGAAAAAAGCGACAAATGAAACTACAGGACTTTATCGCAAAAAACAAAAAATTCAGAAAAGCCAGGACCTTCCTCACAAAAAATGAACTTGCATTTCTGTGTGCATATGTTTATCTGTTATTTAAAATATATTATTATACAAATTAATATAAAAATAACTTAAAATTAAAGTTGTTTCTGTTTGGCCGCGTGTTTCCCTATCCCTATTTACTCTATGTTAAAATAACCTAATTTAACGTTGTTTCGTTTAGCGCCTTGCTGTCTAGGAACGCATCCTCGGCATTAAGCGGGGTCTTACTATATATTAGTTTATTACATTTACAATTAATACAAATCATCGAAAATTATTATTAAAAAAGTTAATTTAAGCCATTTTTAATACTCAAAATTTCATAAATATACATGCACATATATAAAATCAACGATTATTTTAATAGACGTAATTATTTTCGTTTAGTTGATACAGTATAATTAAATTTTAATTGGATTATATTTAAAATTTTCTTTTAAAGATGCAGTTTACGTGAAGAATGTGCTGGTATTTCTCAAGAAACAATTGATTGGCTATCCTATAAACATGACAAATGTATAACAATAACCAAAATTCATCCAGAAAGTATCCAAAGTACAACTGCTCGAGTAGTAAGTAGTAATTGCTTTTAAATTATTAGTAAATTGTTGAAGATATATTCAAGTTCACTTGTATTTTGATATTGCATGATTATAAAATAAAGTAACAATAATGTATTTAAAAATTTTTGAATTTTACAGCATTACCTTGTAATAAGCATGAGATTTTCAAATTGTTTTAATTGATATTGCCATTATGGAAAGAAGTTCTAAATAAATAAAATTAACATTTTTAAAATTTTTTTCCAGCTTTCTCTAACAGTTAATAATCTTCCCGTGTCAGAAGATAAATTATTCTGTGCATTCAAAGTTATAGATCGAACTATAATACGAACTATAATAACGAATGCTACAAGAACAGCTTCTGGTGTTACGTGTGCAACTCCAAACACATTTTTTATTCCGCCTATTCCATCTGGTCATCGTAAGTTACAAAATTATTATCTTTTATTTATTTAATTAATTTATAAATCAAATAAGTGTACGAAATTAATTATTTTGAAAATATATTTTTAATTAAATATTTATTTATTTTTTAATACCATTAAAATTAATGATGAGCATTAATTATATAAAAAGTAGTTAACTACTTATAAAAACTGTGTGTAATTTTACTAATAGTTAACTACATTTAAACTACTCAAAAATAGAAAAAACAAAATATTAGATTGGATTAAAATAATAGCTCTGTTTCCTCTTCACTCTTGTCATTTAACACTTTTAAATCTTTTTAAACTGAAGCCTCAAAATAAATAAATAAAAAAATTGGAAAAATTTGTATATAACATTATGTGTTTAAGTTTATCTCAACAGGAAAAACAGATGTTTCACTGTAGCACTACTGTCAAGGGTAGTGTTTTATTGTAAAAATGCATGTTTTTTACATGCCGGTAGCTGTTTAACACTCAAGCTAACATTTTTGTTTCCTAAATTCCCAATTNCGTGTTTCCCTATCCCTATTTACTCTATGTTAAAATAACCTAATTTAACGTTGTTTCGTTTAGCGCCTTGCTGTCTAGGAACGCATCCTCGGCATTAAGCGGGGTCTTACTATATATTAGTTTATTACATTTACAATTAATACAAATCATCGAAAATTATTATTATAAAAGTTAATTTAAGCCATTTTTAATACTCAAAATTTCATAAATATATATGCACATATATAAAATCAACGATTATTTTAATAGACGTAATTATTTTCGTTTAGTTGATACAGTATAATTAAATTTTAATTGGATTATATTTAAAATTTTCTTTTAAAGATGCAGTTTACGTGAAGAATGTGCTGGTATTTCTCAAGAAACAATTGATTGGCTATCCTATAAACATGACAAATGTATAACAATAACCAAAATTCATCCAGAAAGTATCCAAAGTACAACTGCTCGAGTAGTAAGTAGTAATTGCTTTTAAATTATTAGTAAATTGTTGAAGATATATTCAAGTTCACTTGTATTTTGATATTGCATGATTATAAAATAAAGTAACAATAATGTATTTAAAAATTTTTGAATTTTACAGCATTACCTTGTAATAAGCATGAGATTTTCAAATTGTTTTAATTGATATTGCCATTATGGAAAGAAGTTCTAAATAAATAAAATTAACATTTTTAAAATTTTTTTCCAGCTTTCTCTAACAGTTAATAATCTTCCCGTGTCAGAAGATAAATTATTCTGTGCATTCAAAGTTATAGATCGAACTATAATACGAACTATAATAACGAATGCTACAAGAACAGCTTCTGGTGTTACGTGTGCAACTCCAAACACATTTTTTATTCCGCCTATTCCATCTGGTCATCGTAAGTTACAAAATTATTATCTTTTATTTATTTAATTAATTTATAAATCAAATAAGTGTACGAAATTAATTATTTTGAAAATATATTTTTAATTAAATATTTATTTATTTTTTAATACCATTAAAATTAATGATGAGCATTAATTATATAAAAAGTAGTTAACTACTTATAAAAACTGTGTGTAATTTTACTAATAGTTAACTACATTTAAACTACTCAAAAATAGAAAAAACAAAATATTAGATTGGATTAAAATAATAGCTCTGTTTCCTCTTCACTCTTGTCATTTAACACTTTTAAATCTTTTTAAACTGAAGCCTCAAAATAAATAAATAAAAAAATTGGAAAAATTTGTATATAACATTATGTGTTTAAGTTTATCTCAACAGGAAAAACAGATGTTTCACTGTAGCACTACTGTCAAGGGTAGTGTTTTATTGTAAAAATGCATGTTTTTTACATGCCGGTAGCTGTTTAACACTCAAGCTAACATTTTTGTTTCCTAAATTCCCAATTTAACTTGAAAATTCCTGCCATCCAATTTATAAAGCTGGCAACATTGTTGTTGGACTTTTCCAGCATTCTTTGTTTTCATCTCTAATACGTAATTGCTACCATTATAATGAGTTAAAAGTAGTGGAAACTAAACATGTACTGTACAGTAAAACCTGTTCAAAACGAAAAGAATTCTTCGAAACACAGCGATTTTCTGTGTTAAAAAACCTGTTTAAAACGGAAACCTGCCAAACTGGAAAGATTATTCGGTATCGCGCGAGTCCGGTTTACAAAAGTTTTACTGAAGTTATCTATTAGTTGAATTACTAAATTTGGATAGTAATAAGAATTGTAACTAGTACTATAGTTAACTACGTATTTTTAATTACATCTGTAGTTAATTGCCCATCTTTACAGACAATAAATTATAAAATTGAAAAACATAACAGAAAGTAGTTTCAATTTTCTGTATGGATTATTCATTCTAATTATTTATAAATAGGAAAAAATGCATCTTAGTAAAAATAGTAATAAATGTCTTTGAAAAATAAATAATAATATCAGTATATAAGGTATATTTTTATTTTGTTAAAAGAATAATATTACAGATGAATGGTGTTTATTTCTTTATGATACAATAGAATACAGTACTGTAATTTAACTGATTCATAACAATACTTTTATAGATAATCTCAGATCTAGGCTGTATATCGTAGATGAAAAACAAATCAAATATACATCAACGAATTTTACCTTTTTTGACTGTACGACGTATACTTCGTAAGTATTTTAAAATTTTCAGTTATATTTATTTTGATTTAAAAATTTACAATAAAGTAATTTTAAATAAGTTTAAAAAAATCAGGTGATTCTATATAAAATACCCTATTCAACGCTCTCTAAAGAGATATTTAACAGTCTAAATATAACCGAATTTAGTAATGTGACATTTTAGGACATGCGAAAACTCACCTATCTGACAGGTTTCTCTCTGAAAGCAACAAAAAAGGCAGTTTCATTTGTGAGGACATTTAAAACTCGTAGTATATCGATGACATACTGCAAATTTGGCAGCCTTGAAAGACAGTATTATTCTGTGTGTGAAAAGCATCAGAGGNTAATTTTTATACAAGAGGATAGAACTTTTATTGGTAGAGATTTTAGCCGTTGAGTTTGCTTATATTGACTTACACAGATCAAAGCTAGCATGAATTGAATGTTGATTACTTCTAAATTAGACGTAAAAAATTAATCAAACATTTTACCTTTTAAGCAGTCAAACTTTTATTTATTCATAAGGATACATTCGATTTTGTTGAACCTCCACGGGCCTTTATCACAAGCTCTAAGCCTTTTGGCATTGATAAAACCAACTTTCTAGTTGTATTTTCACTGAGGTTGTTCCAGATATCTAATAACGCCTCTTTCATATCTTATTTCTTCTTAAATCTTTTGTCTCGTAGGTGCTCAAATTCAATCGTGACTCTGAAAAGACCGTTCCAGATGGTTGACTTGATTTTTAACAAAAGAAAATCCTTTGCAATGCGCGAAATATGCTTGGAGTCGTTATCCTGCTAAAAGATGAAATCATCACTCAAGTCCATTTTTACCGCAGAAACGAAGAGATTTTCGTTAAGAAAATACATTGACAATACATTTAGGCGTTCATAATGCATCAATAAATTCAAGCTTCCTGACATCCTTTGCTACCATGGAATCACAAAACATAACGTTACAACCACCATATTTTATGGTACCACGCGTTCATGCCAGCTGGAACTCTTTCCCGGGCTTTCTCCAAACTTTCTGTCATCCGTCTGAGCATAAGTTTAAATTTGGATTGGGCGAACCATAAAATTTTTTACCAGAAAGAGTCGGACATATTGACGTACTTTTTTGCAAATGCCGAGCGACTCATCATGTAACGCTTGCTGAAGAAAGAATTTTTTCTCGTGTAGCGCCTCCTAAATCAAGCTTCCTGAATGCGATTTCGAACTGTGGAGTCACCTCGATCGCCAGTTGTAGAACAGAAAACTATCGTTATTTCTTAACCTTCCCAATGATGTCTCGATCATAGGTGCTAGTGGCCTTCCATTTTCGGCCGCGTCCAGGCAAATCAATGACTGAACCGGTTATTTTATGTTTTTTAACAATGGAAAAAATGATCGAACGTGAAATCCCTGTCAATTTTTCGAAACGATTGTAAGAATGGCCGGTAAAATGAAGATCAATGATTAAGTTTCTTTGGTCAATGCTAACCTGTGATTTTTAAATGCTAACTGTAAAAATCCTGTAAACAATCTTGTATAAATTTGCATAAATTTGTGTCCAACTGAATAGATACTTGCAATTTTGCCAGTGTCCTATTATTATTGGGCTGCAATTCGGAAAAATTGCAGATTTATAAATTCCCATTGTTGTCCGTCTGTCTGTCTGTCTTTGCTTAATTTCGAGAAAGGTGTTAGATAAATTAAATTCGATTCCAGATATAGCTTAGGGACAGGTGACCTCGATTAACTATCCACTCTCATTGTGGATCTGACCGAACTCATGATTGATTAAAAGGCCCTTCTAGTGCCCAGAAAAAATAAAATAAGTATTACCTTCATATACAGCAAAACCTTTGTAAACTGAAACTTCATATTACCGTTTTAAACAGATTGTAATACATTTTTTTTTGACAGATAAACGTCACATACTTACGTTCGTTTTTATAAGAAATCACTTTTACTATAAAAATGAACGTTTGCCATGCTCATGTGCGTTACACCTGGAGGAAATTTTAATTTTGTTCACAAGTAGAACTTAATTTTCCACTTTATTTGGGTTAAGTTACGTTTTTCTTTGTTCCCAAAACCTCTTCCGCGTTGGACAGGTTTTCGGTTTATAAAATTTAACATAGGAAATCGCTTCTTTCCGAAGTTTTTTTCCATTTAGGCAGGTTTTTTACTATATTACAAATTTCAAAAATTATATATTAATATACAGAACTATAATTCCTAATTTTATTTTAAAATTAAAATTTTATATTTCAATTTTCTTTATTAAAAATTTTTAATAATATATATTTGAATTTTTTTTTTAGGTTAAAGTGGGAAGCAAGTTAAAGTTTACAATTGGATGGTTGCGTTACACAGAAGACTAACGAGGATAGTATATTGGATCAATTGAATTACATTTCTCATAATTCTTTCATTTTTTTTATTTTTTCAATGTGAAAATGCTTACCTAAACAGAAAAGATAATAGAAATATATGTTTGTATTTTAAAATGATAAAATGTATTGTAGTTTGTATATGAAAATCCAGTTAAAAGCAAGTTTTGTTTAATTTAATTAATTATTCACCTTGAAAAGCTTGAGCGTTGGAATTCATTGTTGGACTGAACAACTGGATGCACTCACTCCACTAGAAGTAGACTGACCATTATAATACTGGGCTGCTTCTCGATTTATAAAATTGATTATAAAACAATCAATCAATTACTCGATTTGCTAAAATTAACGATTATTTGTACCGTATTATAAAATTTTATTTCAAAGCTACAATATTCAAGAAATTTTTTAGATATTAAACTTCGTTCATCAAAGCCTTCCAATTTATTTACGATTTTATAAGTTGTCTCGCCACTTGTTTTGCAACCAGGCAAGGGACGAAACATTCTCCCTCTTGCAAACCCCGCAACGGAAACACATTTCTAAATTAGTAATAAAGTATACACACAGATCCCTTCTGTAAAGAATAAAGTTCGAGAAGCACTTTATGTTGTTGATAAATATGCTTGTTGACTCGAATAAGTTAGAAATTCGAGTAAAGTATGTTTATTGCACTTAATTACGTTAGTTACACACAAATATAAGAACAAAGAAACGAACCGAATACAATCATTTAGAGCAGTGTTTCTCAACAGAGGCGATATCGCCCCCATGTTGGCGTTTTTCCATGTTGGCGTTTTTCCATCTTGAAGGAGCGATTTGTAACAATTTATATTTTGGGGGGCGAAAAACAATTTTCTGGGCGATAGAGTAAAACATTATATTAAGAATAATTGGATATTTTATTCGTTATATCGTACAATAATTAAACAAATAACATTATACTGGATCACTAGTCTATTCAATGCAGTACGAATTTGGCGTTAGCCTTGGCCCTCAGCATCGGAATTTTGAAGTAAAGGGGGCGATGGTTAGTTACAGGTTGAGAAACACTGATTTAGAGCGATTCACGACATATAACAGACTGACCATCAACTGTCTCCCTTCCCAACATATGATCGGAATGTCACAGTTGATTGTCAAAGGTCACAGAAGGGCGGTAGCATTTCGACTCAGTAAAGTAAAATGATAACCACATGTACAACTTCGACCGCAGTAGAACAAATAATAAATCATCCTCACAAAACTTTGATATTTTATGCCACGACATTAGAATTTGTAAATATGTACTGAAAATAAGATTATTTGAATCTAACACTGTCTTGAATAAAAGGTAATCGGTCAACCTTAGGACTGAAACAATTTTAAATAAAAAATTCTAGTTAATTTCTTATAGAATGTATAAATATAATAAAATGCACGATTAATTATTTTAAATACAAATAATATTTTCAATTCTGATGTTTTGAAAGTTTTAAAATTAGATGAATGATCGATAACTCATTCATGTGGCCAACACATTGAGTATGTATTGGTATGCTATTTATCAGTCAAACCTGCTAGGTTTTGACTGATAAACAGCATTTAGTTGATAACAAAAACAAAGTGCTTGTCAATTGGATGAGCCCAGAATCACGTGAATTCAATTTCTAAGAATTTCGAACTATCGTTCATTATCAAATGTGTGATATGAAACGAACTATCACTGGAATGAAGTGAAAGTTCCCGAAAACTTAACAATTTTTCTGCATTTCAGAAGAACGTGTGGTGTTAATAATAGTTATATGAGAATATTTTCACTTTCTGATGCCAGAGAACTTGGTATTTTTATTTTATGTCAAAGAATTTAAAATGAGTTCTAAGCGAAAACATTTAAGTGGTTTTCAGAAGAGAAAATTGAGAAAAGTAAATTTAAAAAGTACCGAAACTAGATGGATTTTTCAAATCGATAACGGCTGAAAAACTTGATTTTGATAATGTACCAGAGCCAGATGAATGTGAACAATGTAGTATAGAAGAAATAGCATAAAGTTTGGAAAGAGTGAGTACACATACAACGCCACAGCCCATCATTTAGAAAATGAAAACAACGAAAGTCCTACAGCAGTAAGTACATTTTATTGTCTTCCAATCGCGCATTGTACCCAATCGATATTACTAATAAACATACACGAAAGCAAATTTTAAATCTAGAATCATACAGACCGAATGGTCCTTTTCCCTTAAACTTCGATACCAAACGTTCTTTCTCTGTTAAATAATATTCATATAAAACAAAAACAGAACAGGAAATAGAAATGACTGTTATTCTCTCAAACTAAATACAGTATTACATATTGTGAATTCTGTTGGTTTTTTCGGATAGAAACCATAAAAATTATTACCGGTACAATTCTTTAATGAAAGGAATAAATGACTATCAGCTGGTTAAAAACAAACGAAATTATATTTATTAGTAGGCCTATATATTAATATATATTANATGCCTTATATGATTTATTTCACACCTGCTTACTCTAATCTTTATTATTACAATATAGGTAAATATTATCTAATTAGATGTTATTAACTATTTCTTTTTTTTTTCTAGAAGAAAAACAAAAGTTATTGAATGCATTACTTCACCTTCCCAAAGCATTACAAAAGATAATGTTAGAATAAAGTTTGATAATGATTTCAGAATTTCTGAACAACAATTTCAATATGTTGACAATCCTATAATAACTTCTGTACGGTCTCAGTTATATAATGAGAAAAACGTTCTTAAAGGTATACCAAGGTGAGACTTTAAAGAAAATATTTTTATTTACTTTTGTTTAAGACTTAATAACTAATAAATGTAATAAAATTTTTAAAAAATTATTTAGAGTCCAAAAATTGTGAACATTACACCTTCTATCGGTCCTAAATCTGGTGGAACACATCTGTTTATTTGGGGAAAATACATGAATATTGCTGAAGCTGTTGAAGTAGAAATAGGTGATATACCGTGTCATGTTATAAGGTAATGTTTTAATTTGAAATGTTACATATATTAATTAAAAACAGAATGTTAATTATTATATTATGGCATCATTGTTTTACCAAATTGAAATATAGCAGAAAAGTATGGATATTTTGGTATACAGTATTTTCACTGATGAAAATATTTTTCATTTAGAATGGAATTATGTTGAAAATACAGTGGAACCTCTCTTAAGCAAATTCTTTATTATGGACATGAACGTACAAAATACAAAATAGTCATGGGCATCCGCATAGGGAGTAAAGTAAACAGGGCACTTGCCCTCCCTTAGAATTGACTAAAAAATTCCACAAATTATAGCCTAATTATAAAGTGATTGAGATTTATACTTACATTCTCGACTATGAGACACTTTGTATGTCTTATAAAACCTCCTAAAATTTTAGGGTCCCTTATTTATTAAAATTTAATAGTTTTTTAATATAATTTTAATACTTTATTCTGATTGTGGTTCCTTAGTGCTTGCTCTGGCTTTCCAAAAGTTGTTGATTTTTGGCATATGCCTCCCTTGAAATATTCTGTGCTCCCAACGATGTCACATGGCCCGTTGATAAACTATTGTCGACTATGGGATATTTTGAAATAATTTAACAAAATTACTTTTTACATGATGCAACTTTATTAGTACAGTATCTTCCTTTTTTTTAGAATTATTTTATCTTACACTGCCAGATAAAAGACAAGAAATATTTATTGACTAATTTTTCGGAATTAATTTCTCATTATTCCAAGAGCCTTCAGTTCTTAAATTTCATCCTCAGGAACAATATTATAATAGTAAGTATCAAAAATTGTCATTTTAAAGGCTGAGATTTAGTAAGGCTTCCCTGACTAATCTTTGTTGAATAGAATAAAATGACATTAAATATATATCATTGTAATCTAATGATAATTCTAGTTACCTCTACTGACTTGGCTCTCGTTTTAGGTAATGTTAGCCCGTAATGGATGTAATTTAAAATCAACTAAATATTGATTTTAGTTCAATTGCATTGTAATAGTAGACTATTATTGAATTTAAAAACTGTTTTAATACCTTTATCATAAATGAGAAGTTAAAATGAAAATAATATGATAACAGAAGGTCATTATTTCTACCGGTATTATGTTCATATAGCTTCTATGGATAAATTTTCATAATTTCTAATGATCCATTTCACCCTATCTAAAGTGATTCAAATCACTTCATATGCAATAAAACATTTTTAGTTGTTGACTACTGCCATATTAGGCATACCACAACATAACAATCTTGAAATTTTTTCCATTTTTGCTTAATAAGAGATTTGTATTTTTATTTGTAATTATAAGCATAGTATTCAGTTTATTGTTAGTCCTGATAATATGTAGGACAGTGGCGTGCCGTGACATTTGAAGATAGGGAAGCTGTGTTTCTGTAAGATGCCGACTTCCAGGGGCAATCAGTTAATTGCGCGTCAGTGATGGTCTAGGGTCCATTCGTACTCGTTTGTTCGATAAGCCAGTAAAAACCGTAGACTTCTCTAAATGTATTTTTAATATTACAATTACATTCCGAATCGCTAGCCACAATATAAGGATTAAAATTAAAAATACTGTAATAAAAACTTACTTTTGTTTAAGTAAAATTCCGGCTCTTTCAACAGAGTTTTATTTATGTCCCTAATTCCTTAATCTTTTAATTATTTAACTACTTCTTTAGTAGAAATAAGTCGAAACCGGTTACTTTGTACTTGAATATTTGTAGTGTCGAAAAAGAAGTGGAAAGACAAATTTTTATGACAAACGGATACATAAATCGTAAATTTAAGGAAAATAAATTCTAGAGCTTTTTTGTACCTTGTGTATCTCATTCATTACATTTAGTTGTACATGATGCTGCCGAAGTAACAGTTAATTTTTTAGCATTGTACAAGAATTATACACGTTTCTTTCTACATTCCCTTATATATGGGACATACGAAATCGTAATATCACTAGTTTAATATTGAAATCCGTAAGTAATATAAGATGGGAGCGCGGAATAAAAGCGGAATAAATATATTAAATATTTTAATGGATTTATTTTAACTCCTGTCAACTATGCAGAACTATCATAAAAACATAAATTCCTATCGGTTGGGTTAAGTTATAAATCTCGTAATTCACATAATCGGGCAAGGGCGGCCAAATATCT